ACCGACTCAACATATGATGAATTCTTTCAGCAAAATATATACAACATGTGAAATTGATGAGTGAAACCACCTATCTGAGGCTACAACTCACAAGTCCGCTGATCCAAGTGATGAATCTGAGCAGAAAAACCTCAGGATTGGTGAGATAAGTCATCAATCAGAAGCAGCTAGTGCTTCAATTGGTGGGTACTGTCATCAACCTGCTGCATGATGATGCTACCTGCAAACAAACCGAATTTTCATGAGTCACCTCACCAGATTCAAGAAGCACATTGCTTTTTGATGAACCCTCTCATCAAATTTAAGATAGGCCAGCAAATCCATGAGCTGACTCACCAAATTTGTAGGGATACCATCAAAGGATATACCAACTTTGGTGACCGCATTCATCAATCTGGGGACAGCACCCACAGTTTCATGGGCTGAATCGTGGGTTGGCACTCCAGGAATTAGGACACACAACCTCAGGTTTGGTGAGTTCAGTCACCAATCAGTGTCACAGAAGCCTGGATTCATCAGCAAACTCACCAAACAGAAGCATTTCTGCCCAAAGTGCTGAGACAACTCACCAAAAACAAAGACTTTTATCACTTTTGGTGATTGAACTCATCAAAATTAAGGACATTCCCATTAGTTCACTAGGTTATCACCAATCAATGGATTTGGCCTTGCAGGGTCAAACACTTGATGAGCTGACTCACCAAACTGAGGCAAGCACCCAGGGGACAAAGACCTGGTACCTGGGTTTTGAATATTTCATTCATCAATAAAAGAGCATGGCTAGACTCATCAACCCACCAACATGAAGCAAATATATCGCAAATCCATGAGACACCTCACCAAACTCAAGGTATTCAACACAGTTGATGATTCAACTCACCAAATAAGCTAGTATTCAGATATTTCCTGAGCTGACTCATCAAGCAGCTCATGTTTTGGTCAAAGTTGCACCATTGAAGAACTGACTCACCAGGCTGAGTTGCTTGCCCATTGTTTCGTGAGACCAGTAGCAAACCTGAACATTGATGAGTCCCCTCACCAAAATGACACACATATGCCTAGTTTCATGAGTATATTCATCAACCTGTAGAAGTTGTTTCCACATTCTCTTAGAAAGATTGCCAAGCCCAAGAATGCCACCACATCTGATGATTCAAGATTGTAATTTTCACCAAAAACTATATCTAGTAATGTCAGTAGTGTTCGATTCCATAAATTTGCAAAGCTAACTCACCAATCTGAGGCAAGTACTCGCTGCTTCACGAGCGCAATCATTAACAAAATGCGAATGCATACCTTAGATTGGATGAGCTCACTCATCACTTTGCGTGACACAGGCCTAGCTTGATGACTCAACTCACCCCTGCATGGATCAAAACCACCTAAAAAGCCAAAACCAGCAGTAGTTCCAAAATTGCTGATGAGTCATCTTATCAACGTCTTGATGAACCAACTGTTTCAGAAGCAAATCGCCCAGAAATTGCTGACCTTATTCACCAATCTGAAGAAAGCATACAAATATTTATAAACCAAAACAATGTCTAATGTTTGACGACCCCACTCATCAATGTCTATCACAGTGGCTTAACTTAATATTGGGCACCAGTTGAAATCTATATATTTTGGCATGACAGTAATAGGTCCCCAAGGGTCCTTTATGGGGACCTATTGTTTCTACGGTTTGACAATGGTCACCCCCAAAAAGGCCCCCACAAGTCCCAAAATCTTTCATAAAATGCAGGGGAAATATTTTTTTTGGGGGACTTGTGGGGGCCTTTTTTGGTAAACCAACCTAAGTGGAAATTTACCAACTATGCTGCTATGTAATTAAATACATGAAGCCAATGAGTCAATGTTGGTGAAGCTCATATGAGGCCCCCACCACCAAGCTTGCTCTTGAGCTCAAAGGCCAGCCTCAGATTTCGATTCGGCGAAAAAGATGGGAAAACATGACTCCTATACGATGAAATTAAGCTGATACAATGTTCCACTGGATAGAAGCCAAAAGGCAGTAAAAAAAAAACACATGCAAGCGAAGCTGCAGAAAAATGAGAACGATTCTTTAGAAATTGACACCAATTCGAAAACACATCAGCCACGAGAACACAGAATAACCCAACTGCAGCTGCTTAACAAGTGATGTCACAGATTCTCGTGACATGCCATGCCAGTCAGTCGCAGCCACGCCTAAAAAATTACCCCTTGCAGGTGTATTTTTTCAGCCGAAACCGAAGTCCAGATTCAGTATGGTACGCATGATTTCTGCGTTCACTGAGGATGAGCAATTCGCTTCTTCAGGCAACATAGACATCTAACTACAGCAAAGAGTTCCGCTTTTGAGGAAGCTCTGCCAAAAGCAGCCACTTACTAAGCCCACAGTAATGGCTACGACGGAGCTTGATTATCTATTTTTTAAGGACAAAGACAAAGAGACATAACAAAGCAACAGCCGTGACTGTTCCAGTGGCCTGCAAGCTGGAACCTCAATTGATTGGAAGACTGAAAGATAACAAACACAGTTGAGAGTAAAGCTGAACAACAATGAAATACTGATTCATACTCACATGGCTGGCTAAAGATAACTACTTACTTACCCAAAAAACACAGCAGTCCAAAAGCCCAAAAGTTCGAAACACTTGCGACAGCAATGCGAGGATCCAACGCTGACAGACAAGAGCAGGCTCATAGGCTAATCGTGGAAAACAGAAGCTGAGCAGGACATCTTCTCTCGCTGTGTGTGCTGCACAGGAATTCTGATGCAAGAAACATCACAAAATCAACAGGAAACAAATGAAATCTGCAACTGCATCATTGAGCAGCATTCGCACCTTGACCAGCAGCAAGAGAGAATGAAACAAATTGGACAGCTTCTTTCTACGGTGATCAACTATACCCACTATATGGCTCTAGAATCCTCTCAGTCAGAACGCCCCAATGAAGTCCAAGCTAGGCGCCACAGCCATCTCGCCAATTGGGAGGGGAAGCTGCCAGCCTGCTTGCCATCATAAGCTCAAATGTCTCAGCCGTCAATGGGGCCGAACGTCGCAATGATGGACGGCTGGAGGATGAGGATGCAGCATTCTGGGTTGAGTTGAGCCCAAGGTGCTCAGGCTCAGGTCCATGAGAAGAATGATGATCACCAATGCCAATGCTTCGAGTCGTTCCAGTAATGCGAGCATCCAGCTGCATCTGCAACGCAAGATCAAGATCGGCACATCGTCGCTTGGGTGATGGCGTAGTAAAACCATCTGAAGGCGAAGGCCTTTTGTTCTCCGATGAAGTTGGCGGAATCACAGCACTCCCCAAATCAGCTTCAGCATGAACAGAAGCACGACTGCCATTGGCTTCGGCGGCTTCACCAGAATCACCTCCGCCTCCACCTCCGCCAGATTCACGGTCACCATTGCCAACAGTGCTATCCTCGATGGTCGGCACTGAGTCTTGAATTTGTCCTCTCAAAGGCAAAGAATCATCACCTCCATCGCCTCCGCCTCCCTGGCCTCCCCCTGGTTTTCCAGAATCACCATTGGGCGGGCCAGAACCAGAAGGAGGAGGAGAAGGACCATTGCTGGGTGGAGGCTGATCACCACCATCAGCACCACCACCAGAACCACCATCAGAATGGTCGTTGGGACCAGGAAACCTGTGCTCCGGGCAATGATAATGATGGTGCACATTGTGGTTACCGGTGAGCCTATCCCCAAACATCAGATTCACAGTGTCCACATTACAGAACCGGAGAAGAACCATGGGGCGGGAATTCTGGCTCATGCTGAACAAGCAAGTTCAGGAAGTAGAGCAAAGGCCACGATTGTCACGACAGTGCGGCTCAAGGCTCAAGGCTAAGAACAAATCACTAGCTCCTTAAACCAGAAAATGCAACATACCGCTTTTGAACCATGAAGCACCACAACCTTTGTAATGTGATTGCGCAGCCAAACTTTCATGATTTGTGCTTTCACAACACAAAAATCTGGCAGGGCAAGCTGCATATGATTGATTGGGACGGATCTAAGCATGAAATATCAACAATCATTTTTTGAAATAGCGTAATCATAATCTTTTAAAATACAGTAACGGATTGTAGTGGTGAAATTCAAATCAGGTTTGAGATTGGTGGGACAAGGACACTCTGCGAAAAACTGAGAATCTGACGCTCAGCATTGGAACTGTGACCAAGACGGACGGATGATTTCATGGTTCGAAGCCTCATCATTTGGCAAGCGTTCTTGTCATGTTACCTACACAATCGCATCTCCATCTTGATCCCTGCCTGTCTCTGTAGAAAAATACAAGACTGTGTTCTTGACATATCTGTTTCATTTGAGATTTGTTCCTAGACGTCTAAGATCAACAGAATGCAGTTCAATACATGTCAGCAGTCAGTGAAGATGGTAAAATTTTACCTGCACAGCGAACATAAAATTTTAATGCGGATTCTAAACACTGTTCCGTGATCGTGGGATTTTTGTCAAAAATTCCCAGGGCCACGAAAATAACGAAAAGAAAGTTTTAACAGCAGGGTTTGGAACCCCCAGACTTAGTGAGGGACGTAGACATCAACCATCAGAGCTACCTGTGTAAGTGTCCAGTGCCCACATGCCAAACATCAAACGACTGTGACAGCTAAACTGCCCCTGTCAGAATCGGAATCAGACTGGGCAAAAAAGAAGATTGATGTTGACAGCACTGGCCACACATAATGTCGAAAAAACAGCTGCTTCAGTGCTTCAGTTTTCTTTCTCATCTACTACAAGTGACAACGGCTCTGCCCTGTGAACCATGATCTAACAACCATCTGTCTGAGATCAGAACAAGCAGTATGCAAGGATGCAATGTGAATTTACAGGCAAAGCCTGGAAGGCTGATGGTGGAAGTGGGTTGGAGTTCATAGAGCAACAACACAAGTACCATTTTAAAATGATCAATCGAACAAGGTCGAGACACAATCCCAATTGAACGACTGCCAGAATGAACGCGCACACACACACACCTTTAAAGGCTTCGGAACAAGAAACCAATCTTTGCATATGTCTTGAAATCCACAAATGGTCTCCAGTCAGAGTAACATGTCGGCCATCCCGTCGACTGAAGCACCAACATAGTTAGAGTTATGTTTGGCTCCCCGTTAAGTTCAGTTTGGGCATCAATGGCTGTCAATGGCTGAGATTAGAAATTAGAAAGAATGAAAATCTACCTAAGATGACGACCTAAGATCAAAATCCAATTTCTCCCAATGAATCATGAATGAAAGCAACTCCCAATGTCTGATTTGACTGTTGCATCGTCTACTCACAGTCCACCTGACCTGCCTGAAAAGAACTGAAGAACACTCATGATACTACATGGTCCACGTTGTTGGCTGGACACTTGGTTTCCGAACGATGCGCTTGGTTTTTGTTGAACCTGCAGTGCCTGATCATCGCGCCAAAGACATTGCAGGTTGCAAGGCCACAGAAACCATAGAAGTGTAGCCAGCGAGAAAGGACGATTTCAAATCAAAAAACATTATCATTGATAGGGTAGTGAAGAAAAGAGGCATAAGGACAGGGATAAACTGTAAGCTGTTGCATTGCCGTATAGTCTTGAAACTTACCGTATGTCCAGGCCTACTGAAAATGATCAAAGACACTCAAAGACACTCAAAGACTCAAAGAATAATGCTAACGTTGTTTCAATACCAGTTCACTCAATGAAAACATCAGAGGCTGGGTAAGACTGCAAATGGAAACAGAAACATACCCTCTGGAAGACTTCAGTTGAGCCGTTTTTGGCAGGTATATTTAATATACCTGGCCGGAATCTCCTAACTTGAGGCTTTGATGGAGCCAACTTGAGGAGTTTGGAGGCCTAGCTGGGCCATGGAAGGCCTCAGTTGAGCCGTTTTTGGCAGGTATATTTAATATACCTGGCCGGAATCTCCTAACTTGAGGCTTTGATGGAGCCAACTTGAGGAGTTTGGAGGCCTGGCTGGGCCATGGAAGGCCTCAGTTGAGCCGCTTTTGGCAGATATATTTAATATACCTGGCTGGAATCTCCTAACTTGAGGCTTTGATGGAGCCAACTTGAGGAATTTTGCGGCCTAGTTGGGCCATGGAAGGCCTCAATTGACACGCTTTTGGCAGGTATATTTAATAAACCAATATCATAGTAATCTGGCAATTCAAGTTCAAAATTCCAGCAATCTTAACTAAAGGACTAAATATAAACATACCAAATCACCTGAAAACATGCCAGAGCCTCCCAAAGGCAAAGAGCAGGGTCCAGGCTCAAACCTTCCAAAAACAAAGTGAATCTTCTGCAGCCAATCAGAATTAAGGTTTGGGATAAGGTCAGGTAAGGTAAGCCAAAAGAAAATGCCCCTGAACATCGTGCAGTCTGGAGGAGTCAGACCAGACCAAATTAATTCAAATTCAAATAGCCTTCTTTGTGGTATGGTGGTGGTGAGTGACAAGTGACAAGTGATTGTTACATGTGAAAGTCATGCGATTATAGTCAGTAGTCGTCACTAGTCATAAGTCATTAGGTACATTCGAAAACACCCGGCCATTGCCCAGCCTGGTCACACTCGACAGCAATCTGCCTTCCTGTCCAGGCACACGTGATTTCGGCGAGTTTAGTTTAGCTTTCCAGTATCTTTGGGAACCAACATATACTGGCTAGCATCATCTTAGCCAAACAGTCAAACACACAGCCACAAATACATGTCATGTATAGAAACTAACAAAAATCAGAAACACACCAAAGCACTGCTATGATTGGTTCTGTCAAGAACCATGTATCATGACTCATAACACTCATGATGCAAAACAATGCATGACAAAAGCCCTTTGAAGCCCTCTAGTTTTAAAAACCCAGGCTTTGTAAGATAATCTTGGCTTTTCCATCCAGGTCAGAAACCTGTGGGTTTTTGGGCGCACTGACCATTTCCCTACCATGCCGGCCTTCAGGACATCACTGAGGGATTGCACGCTTTGTAGATGATGATGTCGCCATAGATGCCCCAGACTGCAAGCGGCAAACACGAAGATTTTAAAGAAGACATGGCAAAACAAGGCAACCATGAAGTCACGCCCCTGATATATCATGGCTACTCGTTATTTAGGCTCTGTCAGGCTGGGCTAATCCATCCAATGTTGAGATTATCTACGAACCGCATACTAGGTCACTGATTGTTTCTCACACTACCGCCATTTGGCCATCTGGTCACCTGGCTTTTGCAAACCGACACACAAAAAGTATTTGGTTCTTACGTGATGTTTGGAACAATGTGGAAATCATGATTTTACATATTACTTTATTACTTTATTGCACATATAAGTGGTTTGGTTCCTTTGACCGGTTTTTCTCAAAAACCAACAAAGTGTCCTCAAAAAATGCCAAGCCCAACTACAGCCTCTGCAACCGAACTGCGGTGACAGCACGTCCATGTAGAACAGCACAAACACAGCCTGGTCAGAAGCTTTGACAACTTTATGTTCTGAAAAGTTTATGAAATGAGATCGATATTTCAATATAAAAAAGACTGGTGTTGTAGGTTGGGTGGGGTGGTATGTGATAACTCTTCCGGAAGAAACACTGCACTATGTCCAGTCTTGCAGCGATATTTCAGTACATACAGCGATATTTCAATATCGTGCAAGATGCATTTCCTCACAAGCCATGAAGCCTAACACTAACACTATGCCAGGGTTTGCCACTCACCATGTCACGTCGGACCCAGGAAAATTGATGTATTAATGTTTTTAAACTTGAATCTTGCAGTCATGAAGTTGATATGTTTCTCTAACAAAGTTAAAGGAAAGGTAACCCTTTTCCTATTGGCTCGCCACCTCAACAAAGAACCCAAGCAATAGAAAAGAAAAAGTGCCAAAAAGGAACCCGTTTTGCGTGTTTTCACCGTTTTAGGGAGTGGCAAACCAATGCAAACCAACAGGAAAAATACAAGGACAGGGTGTGTGATGTGAGACAAGAATCAACCACATGTCCAGCCCAAGACTTCAAGCCTCCCTGGTGATGATGAAACACTGTCTACAAGTTAGTGGTCAGCGGGGTCTAGACTACTAGCACCCAGTACCCAATCAGTTTATTAAACAACAACATTAGTCTGAGTCGAAGTTGAAAATTGTAATTAAAAACACGTAAAGAAAAGGACTTGAAAACTAACCAAATTCAACTCGATCATGTGTTGATGCTTGACTAACCTCAATGAGTGTCACTGTCACTCAAAACTCAAAACTGACATCTGACAGTCTGACACTCATAACTGACATCTGGCATCACCCACATCCCACATCGCGCCTTGTCGGTGCGAAGCAATCTGGCAAACGAAAGCTTTCGGGAAGCTTCAGTGGCAAAAGAGACGGCTGCGGACCGAATGAAGATGACGACGATGACAATGACTGGTTGTCTGCACCAGCCGGTCTTGCTTTCACTTGCACTGCCGATTTCAATGCCTCTTTCAACATTCCCTGCAAGCTAGCAACGCAATGCTGATGGGAGGATAGCATGCACAAGCAGCATCTGACAGCCTTGCGTATGGGAAGTTGTTTGCTGTCGACTTCATTGCAAACAATGCATGGGTCATTCGTGGGTTGACGACTGTCACCCTCAGCTTCACGGAACATGTCCAAAACCATCAACATGTGCTTGAGCATAGTTGATTGTTGTTGGTCCCTCTTCCACTGTGCTTTCACAACTTTGACACCGGTATCTCTCCAAATGATGTTGGGATGACGTGATCGGAAATCAATTGGGTCCTTGAATGCGCCAACATTCACAGGCACCTTCAGTCGATTGTCTGCATCCATGCTGATTACTCGACCTGTTTCACAAGAAGGTTGGACAGACTTGCTCTTGTTTTGCCAATTGATGATTTCCACTCTTCGTTGGCAAGGGCTGCCAGCAGAAGGGTTCTGCTGATAGGAAACCAATGACACGCCATTAAAATCACCATCTGGTCCACAATGGTCCCTCTGCATCAACAGTAAACGGAGTGCTTCTGAACACCGCCCAACCCATATCTCATATGGGGACGTCCTCTTGTCGACATCCAAGTGCGCAGGCAAAAGAAGATCTTCGAATCCTTAGCTGGGCTGTGCAACGCAGTTGCAGTGTCACAAATCACAAGGGTTATAGTGAAGATTGGCTTCAGTTTTCAAAGTTCAATACCCAAAGACTGTAATCTGATCTACGTATAGTGACGGGATGTTTTGACCGGATGTTGTCAAGTGAGGCGAGGTGTTTGCTGAGTAAAGCATGTGCCACTGCCTGTACATGCATGTACCATTGCCATTGGCAACTGCCAGCGGCAACTGCAGACTACAATCTAGAATCTAGAACCCCAAACAAAAGTTCAAATGTTCAAATGAATACGCAAGTTTCCCAAAAGGTTGAGTTTAAGGTCAAAGTGATGCGTGTGAGAAACAAGTATAGTATGAGTTGAAACAAGTATAGTAGCATAGTAGTATAGTATAAAGGCATAAAGCATAAAGGGATAAAAAATACACCTTGAAACAGCACTGGAGTGGCTTGGTTAACTTGCCTATCGTACGTGTGCTGACAAACATTCTGGAAAGAATTGCGATGATTTCACAACTGGAACATCGGATTGGGTTGCACTACGTGGCAGTCCAGTGTCCAGTCATTTATTTTCATCAATACTTGGGAATGTCTCAAAATAGCGATGCTCGAAAATGTTTGTTTTTAACCAAAAAGAATAGGTTTCGAGCATCCCTATTTTGAGACATCCCCACTTCACTACAAGAGGAATTAGGAATCAATATAAATTGTTGTATATAATTCTGTACCGTACACTAGATCTAGCTGCAGTGACTGTTACCAGCTCACATGTTCAATGTCAAACTTATCTTGCTCGTTGACCATGCACCTAATATGTCACAGTATTTATTGCTGTCTCCCCGTCTCTCCTCTACATCTCTCGTCTCTCTATGTTTCAAAAGCTGGGGCAGGGTACCTAACCTGAAACGAGCTCAGAACCCAGGGGCCCAACAGTGTTAACAGATGAAACATTGTTCAATGTTCCTTCAGATTCTAAAACTGACCGAACAACCCAACAAACCAAATGCAATGCAAGAAACCGGTTTGGGTTTCGCCTGTGTCCACAGACAACTTAGCCCGGGCTTCTTCTGAAACTGAATCAACCCCCTGAGCCGTTGCCAAAGCAACCTCAAAAGCTGCACCCAGTGGATCAATCATAGATGATTGTTGCACGTGCTCAATAGCAGCTTGTTGCTCCACTGAATCAATGCCCGTTTTCTCAATGGTTTGAATTGCCACGGCTTTTTCATATGAATTGACGAGGTCTTCACTGGTTTGGCCTTTAAACTTCCGTTCTGCGAGATTAGACAGCATTTCATCATCTTCATACTGAATCTGACATGTATCCAAACCCTTGGCCAAGTAGTGTTGAAAGTCATCCTCAACCGCATCCCCCTGTTCGATATTTTCATGTTCATGTTCTCCGTTTTGTTCATCAAGTTCTGCTTCTTGGACCAGCAAATTCAAACCCATTTGTTGTACTTCTTGGCCTTCTGAAGAAACTGATGCAGATTTGGGTGGAGTGGATTTCGGAATGTCAGTGTGGCTACTCTTTTCGTGTGCATCCTTTGCCTCGTGGCCGCACTTCTCAATGAGATTTGTGCAGGGAGGTTCCAATTTGACAATGTTTTGAACTTTCCCCAGGGTTGCACAATTCACCGAACCATCCAACGTGCCAAAAGACTTTACCTCTGCATGCATGATCGCAATCACGTGCCCCTGGCGCACTCTGTCGAACTCTTCTTTGATGAGGATCAACAAGGCTTTAAACCCTTTCAAGCATGACCACTGAATCCTGTTTGAAGCTCTGTCCCATTGCACTTCCAGAAGTCTATGTTTCCTGCGAACAAGTTCAGCTGAGACAAAGAAACGGAAAGTGGATGACCGTTCGCCCTTCAACCGTGTAGCAATGCTAATCACTGTCGGAAAAAGAGACCCCAAGGCAGTCTCGCTTTGTTTCCGTTCAAGCAGAGTCCTGTGGACAATCATGTTGTAGCTGGCAGCCCAAGCATGGCTGACAGAATGGCAGTGAACATGAGGATTCATGACGCTGTTCAAATACAATGCCCTTGTGGGCGCAACACAGTTTGTGGCTTTGGTTGAAGGAGCAAATCTTGTTGGCTCTGACTGGACATCAATGAGACCCTCCCAAGATTGCAAGCAAAGCTGTCTCACTTTCTCAGCAACTGGTCTGAATTGGGACCATCTATGCGATGCTGCATGCCCAGCCCCTTCCCCTGATTCCCCAAGAAGGTACTTCAATTGCAACCTGGAGCTCTGTAGATCTACTGAAGCGGATGGACACCTCTCTGCAACCAACCCTTGCATCTTGTTCAGCCTTTCGTTTTCACGCACATCACTCTTCATCATGATTCCAATACCTTTAACCAGCCAAAAAAGACGGGATGGAAGTACCCCATCACTAGCAGCTATTCGAAGACTCTTTCTGAATCTGTGCTTGATTTTCTTGGCATTGATTTCCAATTCCTTGTCATCTGTTCCGATGATTTCTTCAGCAACCCTGCGCCGAACAATGCAGAAGACATCTGCCGGGGCTCTGACCAGAAGCAACAGCTTCATAGGAAATTGGGTTAGGGGCCACACAACACGGCGCTCAAAACCAGAAGCATTGTGTAAAAGCATTCTACCAGCCACCACACACAGAAATCGACGGTCATCGTCGCTGACAGTCTCAGGAATCACTGCATTCCACTGAGAAGAAATTCCTGGGCGACCCGGCGACGGCCCGAAGAAAACTGGAAGCAAAATGGTAATCCTTATCCTGTGACTCTGCGACTCTCACAGGCGACTGCAATGTGGCAGCGCAACAAAATGAATCTCATCATTCGCCATTTCAATGAATGGCTACATGACTACAGAAAAATTGAAAACAGTTGGTTGTGGTTACCAACAAGCTAGCAGGCTAACAAGCAAACAATCAATCACCATTGTCACAACTGCCCCAATTGAAATTAAACCATCTATGACATCAAAATAAATCAAAGAAGACTGATACGACCCCAACTTGATGATGAAAATGATGATATGCTGCTGCATTGCTCCTTCATGATCAAAGAATCATATGCCCCTTTGCAAATCTAATCCAGTTTCAATTCATTTCAATAACACAAACATTGACACTGACTGACAGACCCAAACACAATTTCCAGTCCCAGCGCAGATAAAACCAATGCATCTTCTTCAGAAAAAATCAATGACCTGACATACATGAAAGCTCAGCAAATATCAAGTGTTTGATCGTTGATTGGTCCAGGAGTCCAAACAAACAATGAAACAAAACATTATATTATGCCTAAATTTCTGCATGCAGTCGACCTTGGTGGATCTCGCAAAAACCTAATGTCTTGACAGGTTTAGCATATGTTCATTTTTCATTGAACAATATTCTACTAGTAACTGCCCCGATGTTTCTTTCAACGCAAGCCCAAGTGGCGAGATTTGCAAATGGAATGTGGAATCCCCCAAGTTTCCCAACATTAGACATAATTACAAACGTTACCGACGTTACCGTTGCAAACGTCATACAACATACAAACCATTGATCATGCAACCGAAGCTCGCAATGATCGCAAAGTATCACTGAACTCCTCTAAGATCAGTGCTGCTTTTCCGTAGACAAGCTGGGCCAATGGCCCCCCTTTCTCAACACAGGTTTGCAGGGAATGTTTCTGCTTCAACACATTCGATATGTGAATGAGCGGTGACCGAGTACGGTTCATGACTGCAATAACCATGCCCCACATCTGATCCCCAATGGCTTCTAAAGTGCGGGCCCTCCACTTGCCCATTTTGATAGTGAATTCTTTGGTCTCTTCAATGCTGAGTTCATTCGGATTTGCTGGCTGTTTCTGTTTCTGTCTCTTTTTGGAAGTATCATCACCTTCTCCTGCTGGTTTGGCAGAACCACTGGCGGCTGTCACTTTGGCATGCCGAATGGTTGCTGTGACAGATACAGCGCCACTCCAAGCTTCAGCTTTGCAAGCCATCAAAGATCCAGAAAGTTCATTGGCATCAACCCACTTGCGCGTCAACACTTCTGACACGCAAGCAGCCAATTCAGAGAATCCAGCATTAATAATCCGATCTTCCAGCTCTTGAATTCGACCCCATCTTTGCGATACAGGACGTGGGAAAAGAGTCTTCACTGCCTCTTTTGCTCTCTTTGCCCCAAATTTGTTCGAGTAGGATTCATACAGTGAACGTGCTTGATCTCGACAAGTGTGTGAAAACATGGCTAAAGAGGACCAATATTTCCAATTCGTAAACCCTTCCAGAAACTCATCGACGAGAAGCAAACTTGACATGACTACCAAGTGTGGCGCATGCTCCAAACAGTCTTGTTGAAAATAGTAAATGTTTGGGCAGTCCATGATTTCAGCTGCAATCAATCTACGCGCCAGCTGTTCATTTGCACCCCCGTCAGTCGTCGCCATGTAAACATGGTCTGTCAGCAGCGTGGCATACCTGAGTGTGGTGTCTGACATATTGCTGTTGTGGTTACTCATGATGTTATTGTAAACACAACCATGCAGCATAACAATCAAATTCATAGTGATTGGCAAAGTAAGGAGAAACAAGAGAACTTAAGCAAGAACCCTGGGTAATTAGACAAAGGAACTCTGAAAGTGTTTCTTGCTTTTCCTTCACAGCTCTCCAAGAGGGGCATGCTAACGAATCAAATCCCCGCAAAGTGATTCCAACACATCCAATGCCTGTCTCGTCCCCGACTGGCATCAAATCTGCCAATCTCTTCAACCGAAAGAAATCTTCCCATCTCAAATGTTCTGATTCTTCTGGAGAAACATTGGAAATGTATGCGGAATCCAACTCCATTGCACAAACTTTGCGACGACCATTGGTAGCATCCTGTCTATATGAGTGGAAGCAAATTGAGAAACCACTGTTCCTCTCATCAAAGACCTGTGAAACCATCACATCAAAATGATTCCGGGCTCCTGCAATCAAACTCGCTCCGCAACGCATCTCGCATCTTGACACTGTTTGCTGTGCAACATCTTCGCAAATGACCTTGCCAAAATCTCTTTGGGATATGTTGCTCATATTCCGCCGTACCTATATCAGCTGCACAGAGATTAGGAAAGTTACCCTTCAAACCAACAACTACCATATGGATAAACTACTCAAAAAGGGAACCAAAATGCTGACCCTCCCCCAAAAAAATGCACACATAGGAACAGAACTTGTAACACAAAAACGGATGATGTTCTGAACAAGTTGCCGCAACATTTGCTTGGCCCAAGGGAGTAATCCAGCTCCACTTTTTCTCAGAATCAACCCATGTGCTATCACGCCGTTCAATGTCAAAGTCCCTCCGGCTCCTCAACACTTCAACCTCTTTTGTCCAGTTTTCCTGCTGCTTTGCGATTTTGTCATGGGCACGTCGCAATCCCTGTTGCAGCTGTCGTTTCTGAGAACGCAATTTGGCAATTTCAAGCTCTTTACCTTTCAGAAGTTTCAACAAAGACTCCACATCAAGTTCCCCTTGGGCCCCTTCAACACTGATGTTGCTTGTCGTACCCACATTGTTTCGCAAGACTCTTTGCATCTGAGTTTTTTGCTGACGGTTTATGGGTTCTGGTGTCTCCAACATTTCCCCGCCAGAAACCATCCTGCAATCTTTAGACCCTTTGTCTGTGATTTCAAGACTGGAAGAACAACTACTGTGGTCCGCCGTCGGATCTGTGAATGGCATCATTTCAGAATCACTCATGCTGTCATGGTCCGAAGAAACAGTGCTCTGCAAAAAATCTTCCAGTTCACTCGGCTGGACTCTGATGCCCAGAAGGTCAAACAAAATCATGACTACCACTCCTGCATGGTATAGCACCTCATCTTCACTTGGCGCTGTGTCAGGGTCCGAAACAATTTCAAAATGCCGAGCGGTTGATTGACAAAACCGAGAAAACCGTCTCCAACCAGATACATTGGACTGTGTGCAAAGAGTGGTCCAAAACTCATTCAATGCATCATGACCACTGCAGTATCCTCTCTCAGATTTCTTCACATTGGACGACAGAAATGATCGCAAATTCGGAGGCACTGCTTGCATGGCTTTGCCGTGTGGAATGCAAGTCACTGCAGTGAATTAAACCTTGCACATGTCATCCGTGTTGGTTAACATAATCCTTGTTAGTATATTGTTGAAACCCTGTCCCGAAGAGTAGCATTCTTCTTGTAGTTGCTGCCCAAAAGGTAGAGCACTGGGAATTGTTCCCTACCAAACCCTGAGGTGTTGTAGTATTTCTGTGTGCGCATGAATGCATTGTTCCCTACACAGGCTAGTTTGTCACCCATTTTTTTGTATGCACACGAAAACTGAGCAGCTAGACACAATGAATTCCATAATTTTATGTTTTCTATCTTGACTGCTGCTGTCTTCTTCTCACTGCCAAACTGACAAAATAAGCAAACATGGTTATTGGATGTTGCAATGGCATTTCATTCACATACATAAATTCATACATGGTATTGGCATCTTGCCTGATGAACAGTGCGAACCAATTTTTCAATCATGTTGCCCCTACCATGATATGTGGGGTACTTACCATCTCTAGCAATCATTAAGGTATCATCCATGCTGGAATTACAGTGTGTCCACCCCGCGTCCATCATCATGAGCCTGATGAAAGGCAACTGCATTTTCCAGCTGCAATGAAGACGTGATGTAAAAACTAAATCCACATGTAACTAGTTTTTCTTTCCAAAATCTTTTCCAACTCCAAAATGGTTCAATGGCTGGAGTAAGCATTCACAGCAAAACGTGCTCCTGAGTTCAAACTGGGAGATGAAAACCTGAAACCACCACCCAAAAAAAATGGTTGACCACGTACGTTGAGCAACTCACATTCAATAAAATCGAATTCTGAAAAGTAAGAACACGGTTCTTTGATCTGAAAAACTATTGGTGAAACTGCAAATAAAATAGCAGTCAAAGAGCAACACGCCTACCACGCAGCAATGAAATTGTATTGTTCCTAGTACATGTACCCAAACACTTGAGCACATTCACCGAATCATTTGGCATCAAGACATAGGCCACATTGGATGTTACGAATATATATATATATGTGTGTACGTATTTATGTTTATGTAGCTAAATGTTGTCAATTCACCAAGTGAGGTGAGAAATGTATAGTACCTCGTGGTGAGGTCGTTGGTTTATAGCTCTGCTTTGGCACCATTGGAACTGCGAAGACCATGAGTCACCCTCGAATAAAACAGAAAGAGAAGATGAAAGATGGGTGTGTCTCAGTTGGGGATACCAAAATATCGTGTCATTACAAAACGGGGAAAATATGGGAAAATATGGGAAAATGATGTTCTAAACAATGGGAGTTCTCTGTCGCCAAGTTGCTCCTGCTGCCCTTCTCATTGTTCGGAGTGAAGAACCAAACCTGAAGACCGAACTTGTGTATCCTAATTGGAGGTTGCGTCACTCATCAAATATGAGCCATTGAGCATCCTCATCCCAAATGTTGTTGAAAATGGAAGCGACTTCAGCCAGTAAAGTCTTTGTTGGGAATGGAATTGCGAAGCACGACTTTCCCGAAGTAATTGCGAGGCGTCTGGTTTGGGGGGACCCATTTCATCATCCAAAAGTAGTCATCTTGAATGGGACAACCAATGGTTGAAGGCCTCCATTTTACTCATAAAGCTCAGCATCTTTGCAAGCCAAGGCACGCAAACAGCACCTGCAATGATCAACTGACCGAGGGCGACGTTCAGAGCGCTGTTCCTCAGCAGCACAACGGGGTTTTGGTCGCAAAATGATTGGTAGACTGGGTACATGACACAGGATAGAACCAAATAACCTGTGCTTTTGCTGTTTTTCCCCACATCTTTGTGTGGGGTTCTTGTTTTTGATTCTGTATCCCGGGCTCCTCCTCCGCCGCCTTCTCCTCCTCCGCCCTCCTCCACACTTTGTCACCATACACTTTGTCAACAAACACTTTCTCAACACACACTTTTTTATCACCACACACTTTGTCCAACACACACTTTATCAACAAACACTTTATCAACATACACTTTATCAACAAACACTTTATCAACATACATTTTTTTTCTCAACATACATTCAACATACACTTTATCAACAAACACTTTATCAACATACATTTTCTCAACATACATTTTCTCAACAAACACTTTGTCAACACATACTTTGTCACCACACACTTTGTCCACACACACTTTGTCCACACACACTTTGTCACCACACACTTTCTCAACAAACACTTTGTCAACACATACTTTGTCACCACACACTTTGTCCACAGACACTTTGTCACCACACACTTTCTCAACAAACATTTTGTCAACACATACTTTGTCACCACACACTTTCTCAACAAACACTTTGTCAACACATACTTTGTCACCACACAAACTCACATCCACCGTCACAAACTCACATCCACCTTCGTTTCACGTGGCAGGCGTGGCACAAACTCACATCTACTGTCGTTTTGCGTGGCAGGCGTGGGACAGATGGCATTGGGTGGCGCGCTTGGACGGGCTTGGGCGCCTGTGACGCCGCGGCACTTTGCGTGGCAGGCGTGGCACAAACTCACATCTACTCTCGTTTTGCGTGGCAGGCGTGGGACAGATGGCATTGGGTGGCGCGCTTGGACGGGCTTGGGCGCCTGTGACGCCGCGGCACGTTGCGTGGCAGGCGTGGCACAAACTCACATCTACTGTCACATCTACTCTCTGTCGTTTCACGTGGCAGGCGTGGCACAAACGCACATCTACTGTCGTTTTGCGTGGCAGGCGTGGGACAGATGGCATTGGGTGGCGCGCTTGGACGGGCTTGGGCGCCTGTGACGCCGCGGCACGTTGTGTGGCAGGCGTGGCACAAACTCACATCTACTGTCGTTTCACGTGGCAGGCGTGGCACCAACTCACATCTACTGTCGGTTTGCGTGGCAGGCGTGGGGATGGCATTGAGTGGCGCGCTTGGACGGGCTTGGGCGCCTGTGACGCCGCGGCACTTTGCGTGGCAGGCGTGGCACAAACTCACATCTACTGTCACATCTACTGTCGTTTCACGTGGCAGGCGTGGGACAGATGGCATTGGGTGGCGCGCTTGGACGGGCTTGGGCGCCTGTGACGCCGCGGCACTTTGCGTGGCAGGCGTGGCACAAACTCACATCTACTGTCGTTTCATGTGGCAGGCGTGGCACAAACTCACATCTACTCTCGTTTTGCGTGGCAGGCGTGGGACAGATGGCATTGGGTGGCGCGCTTGGACGGGCTTGGGCGCCTGTGACGCCGCGGCACTTTGCGTGGCAGGCGTGGCACAAACTCACATCTACTGTCGTTTCACGTGGCAGGCGTGGCACAAAGAATGAATTGTATCGTTTCTGCGCATGTTTCTGCTTTGATGGCACTCTCTGGCAACGTCTGCGCATGTTGCACAGTGATGGCACTCTCTGTTCAGCAGTTGCGCAAGGACAAACACTATATGCTCCTGAACACGATGCAAATGTGATCGAAAGAAAGGATGGCGTTCGTCCCAGCTCAGAACAGGTTCTGTGCAAACAGTTGCAGCTATTTGTATGTCACTTGCTGTTTCTGCACTGTCCATGGACAGCTGTTTTGTTGCAATTTCAACGTGATCGCATCTTCTGATACTACCTGCCAGGTACTGACCTCATCGCGTACATGGTCCACGCCGACACCCGCACTCACACACACACAGACACACACACACGCACACACACATACACACACACACAGACACACACATACACACACGTACACACACACACACACACCCACACACACACACACAGACAAACACACACACACCCCCACACACACACACACATCATCCAAACGCCAGTCGTGGGCCATCCGTTTTCGTGATGGTCTGCGCTGTACGTTTGCGGACACATAATCAATGGTCACGCATCGATTGCCCTTCGCCGCACTTCCTGGCGTGGGGCATCTTTGATCGTGGCCGCACACCACACACACATACTCGCACACACACACACACACGCACACCCACACACCTCACCCACAAACACAACTCATCCATACACAACTTACTCACACATACTCGTCCACACATAACTTACTCCACACCAATCCTTCACCATCTCTTTTCTCTTTCTTGCTTACCCCATGCCGTCTTTGCCTTTCTTTTGTTGCTTGTTGGAAGAAGTTGACTTGTGGGGTTATCCGGTCCTTTAATTCCCCCAGGGGGGCTGTTGGTAGATGCAGATGTTTCGCCCAGATGCCAGAGGTAGTTGAAGAAAGACACCCAGAAGCCTCGTTGGTCGACTGGTATGGCTGTGGCTCATGTGGGCACCAAAGAGCACCAAAGCTACTGATCTTGATTTGAAACCATACAATTTGGATCAATTTCAGGTCTTGCCTTTCTTGAGTCAGAGCTGAAATCTCTTCTGCTTAATCCCCTTGATATGAAACAACAGAAGCCCATATGGATCTCATTATTCATGAATTGATGGAAGTTGGGGCCAGAAAAATGTGGAAGTTCATATGGGGAACTGGGATTGCTCCATCTTCAAAACTGCTAGGCTGATTCATAGCAGCCATAGCACCTGCATAGCACCTGCTTCTTGTTGGTTCTTCCGAGTTCCCAACTTGTGAATATCCACTTGATTTTTTTCCGGCCATGGTCGCTTGTAGAATCATGTATCAGAATCATGTAAAGCTTGTAGAAAGAATTTAACAATGATATAGGTCTGTAGTTCGCTAGATCGTCTGTGTCTCCTTTCTTATAGATGGGCACCACGCGAGCACCCGGGATATCACCAGTCGTCCTGGAGTCGTCCTGGATTCACCAAGTAACGCCAATCGAAGGAGTAGCGGGGCTGCGAGCATCGCCAGCACGCAATGATGGTTTCGGTGCCATTCACAATAGACTGGCGGAATGGCCAACACGGTTTCTCAAAATTGGGTCAATCATGGTTCAATCCACGGTTTGTCTCAAAATTGGGGATATATCAACACACCCCAATTTGTTTATCTATGTTTATCTTATACCATGAGATGGAATGGGAATTGAAATTTCAAGCAAAGGCCACAGGGAACGAAACTCTTGGACTCTGGATTGGTGGCTTGGAGGACAAAGTCTGCTGGTCATCAAAATGGGATGCCTACATAGTATTTCCATGTATTTCCTCACGTTGGTTTTCTCCAAAGTTTCCGGGGCACATCAAAATCCCACAGGTCAAACCACATTTTTCCCATCCAAACTGACGACAGAACTGCGGATTTTTCTCACATTCGGGCCCTTTGCCGCACCTCGCAGTTCTCCTCATCCTTCCAAACTGCTCCGGTCGGCCAGGTACCAGTGCACTTCCCTGTCAAATTTCATCCCTGGGTCATCCAACTGGACCCTGGTGGATTGTGTGGGTTGGGAACCTCCCGAATAGTTGGATCATGCTGGATCCACGACAGGATTCTGAAGAAAACTGGCTAACTGGCGACTCCGAAAAACGTCGAGCAAATCATGGACTCAGAGGGTCAACCCCGGATGAATCAACACGGGTTATTTCAGGGGGTTACCTCCAAAAAGATCCAAAAAGCATCCAAAAATGTTCTAAATGAAATTAGGATGAAAATTGGCACCTCGAAAATCAACTGATGTTACTAGGCAGCTGCAGAGCCGCCTGGCACAGTATCTGTGCCATAGGCTTCCGCATAGGTGGCAAAGGCGCCCGTCGGCACGTAATCTGAGAGATCACCGAAGAAACACAAGGGATTTCATCATGAGGGTGGTAATTATTGCTTCATGAAAAAAAACAAATCATCTAGCCATCAAAGATGGTGGAAATTGGCTGAAATGTGTGTTGCCAAGACCCACTCGGAACTGATGCGTGATTGCAAAACTCAGATCAGTGGAGTCTTTGGATTTCTTGATGTGCCGGGCTCCCATAAATGGATATAAATGGTTGGCAAGTTGGTTAGCTAATTAGGCTATATTAATGTATATACATATATTAATTAATATTCAAATACTTAAAATGAGATTAAATCCATCCATTTTGGGGGCTCACTTTCCATTGAACCCCCACATTTTCATCGGCGATTTCACAGATCTCCAATGCAGCTGCGAAGCCAGCTGGCACCTATCACAGGTGCGCAAAGGCTGGGATATGGGATATGGCTTTGGTACCTGAAAAAAAATGGGAAACACACACACAAAAATGTATAGTTATATGTATGTATGTATATATATATATATACATATGGGTATAACGTGTTTCGCTGCCCCCACCCATTGTTTTCAAGTATTCTATATGTGCACGTTTCAGAGATGTTGTGCACGTTTCAGAGATGTTGTGCACGTGTCAGAGATCTTGTGCACGTTTCCCAGCAGTTGTGCACGTTTCACAGAAGTTGTGCACGTGTCACAGAAGGTGTGCACGTTTCACAAGCCCCCTAATAAGGTTCGTGTTCAACTGTATACACACTGAGCGCATTCTAATCAGCAAAATCATTGGGGCGACCAAACACGTTCTCCTGATATATACAAATATAGAGATTTATATTCATCAAATTGTGTCCATGTTTGGAATTGTTCTAGGTACCTCTTCAGACAGACCCATAACTGTCATAACTCAAAACGTTCTACGCAAAAAGGACCAGCCTGGGCTTGCCATTCGCATGGGAAACACGGAGACACCCTGTAGCCGAGTGGTTTTCGCGCCTGTGAGAGGAGGAACGCGGCGGAGAAGCACCAGGCCAAAGTCCAAATGCCAGCGAAGATCGCCTCAGCGTTGATGGGGAACGGGCGTAGAAAGTTCTGACCGGTTGAAATGCTTTCTAGCCTCAACCTTGGACTTCACCGGGAGAAACAACCCCAACAACCACCAGTAGGATGAGTAGGATGATACCCAAATGGAGGATGAGTCGGGATGAGTGAAAAGGTGTCCAACCCTGGTGGATTAGTATTGATCAGGACGTCCGCTTCGACAATACTCGATTGAACTTGGTGGAATGGGGCCACGTAGAACCATTGACTAACACAATTTTGAGGGAATCGCAAACAGACTACGAATCCGCCAATGGAGAAATGTCTCAAAATCTCAACGCAGATACCACCAGGATGGATGGCATGCAGCCTGGATAATCGGCAGGGCCAGAATGCGCGGGGTGTCCACAACGAAGACTGAGGCCACCTGTGCGGGACAAGCGTATGGGGGGAAGTCGTGGAAAGATGTGGAAAGATGTCACTTCTCTGGACTACATACAATTTCAAGGGTAAGCTGATAATGTATCTATATATGGGACTGGCAAATCAAAAGTTCTTGGTAACTCTGGTTGTACAGAGTACACACTCGTTACTCGTTGTTCTCTCAGTATGTTCCCACAATTTTTTGCAAGAAGCAGTCAGAAAACTGACACAACAAATCGCATTTCTCGACAATGTTAACTATTTATAACTATGTCACCTTTCGAATCGGATGGTGTGAACATGGCTCCAATGGCTCCCACTCATGAAACAATGTGTTTCACAGCAAGACTTGAACATCACATCGGGCCAACCTTGTTCACAGCAACAGCCAGCCTGATCCTGTCAGGGGAAGATGTGAAAAGATGGTTTGTGCTCCCACTTCGAAAGCGATAGTCTTGATTGTTGGTGAGTCTTCTTACTTGAGCTATCCTGCTTGCACGTTGACTATGGATTGGTCTAAGGGAATATTTCCACTTAAACAAATTCTTGGAGTCAACATGGGTTTGGCAGCTGACAATAGGGCACCCCATTTCATTATAATCCAAAAAGCTCATGTTCCACATTTCGAAGCACAGTTCCTGTCGGTGAGGCAACAAATGGCGATGGCATAGACGAGGGCTAACACCTCAGGGCCAAATCAGGATCAGTACCAAAATCACCATCAGAGATCCCAAAATCATCAAAAAAATGGATCCAAATCCATCAAAAATTACCAGTTAAAATTTAGCTTTTTTTAGAAATCATTCAAATCCATCAAACGCCATCAAAACATCCAAAATTATCAAACATCTCTTCAAATCCATCAGACACCATGAAAAGTTTATCCAAAAACATCAAAAAGCCATCATCCAAATCACCACTTCTGTGCCACTTCCATTTTCCATCGACTCTCAAGTGGCTGTCTGAGGCGGCAACCCACAAGACATACGCCAGGATCTCCAAAACAATACGCAGCTCCTGTGATGGATTTCGGGTGCCATTGGTGCCATGGAAAACGGCCCATGATTTCGCTATTGAAAAGCTGTTGTTCCATCAATCTATCATGGGGATATAAATTTAGGCAAATGTGATGAATTTCGGATATCACTGCTTAAATCCAGTGATCATTTTAACAGTGGATTTCGTAACACTTCTCATTTCTCATGGGAATAATGTTGCTATTTAGGGGACTGCAATTCAATCTTGGGTTCCCAGTACTAGAATTACTAGAAGAATAAGACTGTATAGGACTTGAGAAGACATTTTCATGACTAGAATCACTTACTACTGTTACAAAATAAGAATACATTACTAGCTTCCCTTAAGACTCACAACTCGCCCTTCTCGTCCTCACTGGCGACCTCGAAACCTCAGGATCTCGGTGAATGATGGTGAATTTGTGTGGGGAAACTCTCCCAAAATTGCCGAAGATTTTTTTGCTTCGTGAATTCTGATCCCAGAAATGTGGACGGTATATGACGGTATGACGATCTGGGGAAAAAAAAAAAAACGATATGAAGCACCCAGTCATACCCAGCCATACCCAGCCGTCACGGTGGCCCCTTGGGGTTCCTTGGGTGCCTGGGGCTTCGGCCGTTGGTACACACAGGTCTGATGACACCGATAGGATTGCACTCCTGGCGATGATCCAAGTGAAAATGATGGGACAAATATCTGGGATTGCAATGATTTAGCCTGGTTCAACAGTTTAAAGAAAAATTTAACAGTTTAACACATCATCTTCCCATATCCCCATGTCTATTTTTTTGTCACCATGACTTGTCATTTGAAAAACCGGCAAACCATATGATATATGATGATATATGTCCATATATGTCCTACAAGAAATGGAGTCTCCCCAAGGGAGGAAAAGCTTTCCGGCTTTTTCCGGTGGCCACCCGGTCCTGCCATCGAACCTCTGGGTCGGTGGTGTGACACCAAATTGTCCTGGCCTTGTACTTGTCCGCCATCTCAGAGCAAAGAAGTTGCGCAGATGTGATGATCGGAGAAGGGGAAAATCAACAAATCGCAGAAATGTGATGGGATTTTTTTTTGACAAATCAACATTTCCAGATTGTTCGACAAATCTGATGTGAAAGACTAAAGCGACATCAGAAATTTCGATCGACTTCAGCTGCAAACATTGGGAATTGTGTGCTCCCTGCTCCCATTGATGGAATTCCAATGTCACCGACATGTGACCATTCGGCCATTCTGAGATGATGACATCGAATGGATTTCGGCAGTAGTTCTTCACCAGGTTGGACTCTGGGTAGTTGGTGGAGTTGTAGTACGGATTCAAATTGGTCGAAAGACCTGCGGTGTTCGAAGATCCGGAATGGGTGAAGCAAGAGTTTGGGGAGATGAAGATCCAGAATATCATTAGCAAAAATATATCATAATCTCATATAATCTCATATAATGTCATAATATCATCATATCATCATATCATAATATCATCATCATCCATTTACCAACAAGTTTGGTGTGGAAGCAGCGGATTCCATTGTTGACTCCCCACATTCCAGCCCAGCTGAGCCAGCAACCCCAATCCGCACAGAAGTAGCCCATCTTGGTGTAGGTCTGCACTCCTGGTTTTTGTTGGGAGTCTCACGCGGCTGACGCGAAAAAAAATACCCACAGCTGGGTTGACGGAAAGAAACCCCATCCCATTTTCCAAACAAAATTGTTGGGAAATGTTGGGAGCCAACATGAAATGCGCAGCTTTTTGGGGGTCTCGGTCTCCTGTGTAGTTTCCTCCATTGAGACCCGACAAGGCTTCACTGGCAGGGGTCGTTTGATCGATGATGTTTTGGATGGCCACCTCAGCCCGTCAAGCAACGCTTGGGCGAAGGAGAATTGATCCAATACTTAACCAGACTTTCTGGGATATGTTCATAGCCATTAGGCAGAAGGTATTTCTAATTATTTCTATGATCTGCAGTGGGAACAGCCAATCTGGCCCACGTGTGTTCCCATTGTTGGATGTTCCATTAAATTCCGATGATATTTATGCTATTCATTGATATTCATTGATATTCCCTATACATTCCCATAGTTCTCCCCATGATCTCCCCAGTGATTTCTCACGTACCAGCTTCGCTGATCTGAGACGTCCACCGCGGTGGTTGTGGCTGCACCCACCAACTCAGTTTCCGAATGGCTCGGGATACCCCCACATCCATGTGATTCATCGGATTTTCCTATGGATTTTCCGGGAAGAAAAAAGAATCTTGAGTCTGACACGGTTGTTTTTGTTGCCCTCTAGAACCACTAGATGGTGACCACTTTTTGTACCACTCGTGAACATGTCACGGAAACCTGAAAAAAGCAAGCCATGGCTTTCAGCATCAAACATCCGGAAATGACCGATTTTTCTGCCGAATCTTCACACTGCCCAGCTGCAATGGTCTGACCCGTCTCAAAGATGCCAACGCCTGGTGCCGGTGGGTTGCTGTGCAGATTCTCCTCGTTTCACCATGATTTCGGAAAGTCTCACCCACCTGCGCATTGGGAGGAGGTGATGAAGGAGAAGAATCCCGCGAAGCACAGGATCAAGAAGAACGCGCAGACCTTTGGGGGTTCAGGGGTTCAGCACATGGGAAGACATAGGAAGATTAGAGATTTGGCGCACCCATCGACCCAGTTCACTTGATGGGAATGTGCTAAATTGAGGCGGGGATTCACAGATCTGACCAATGAGGATGTGCGAGCCACTGCTGTGTTGTGCTACTGCTACTGTTATCACCACAAAGCAGTGGGTCAACACTTGTGACCTCTTTCAAATGAGTCAAATGGTCTTCCCGTCATTTATGTCATTTACATTCAGTATCACTGAGGGAACCAGATCTCTACATCACCGGATCAGAGATCTTCAGAGATCTTCAGAGGCCCCCAGCCGACAGCCATACCTCAGCCGGTCAGCTGGCGAGAGCCATGGCCCGACCCATGGGGGCAGACAGACTTTTTCTTCAGCTTCAGACGCAGAAACCAATGAGGAACCGCAGCATCACCTTGGCAAGACTTGGGCGTCCCAATGTACAAGTTGAAATGAACATTGGCCAAAACAGTCAAAACCTATCACAAAATTGGAGGATACAACTTTGATCAACAAAATCTCTGATCCATCCCCTAGAATTGCATGAAATGCTGAGAAGGATTTGGTTCACCAACTTCCATTCTCGATCACTGAAGGCTTCTGAGGTACCCTTAAATTCCAGGTGCCCTTGATCACAAATAAGAACATGGCAAGAATGAGGTATGTTCTTGTGTTGGGTTTGAACGATTCATCAAAAGGTAGACAAACATAGAAACCATGGGTCTGAACAAATTACTATAATTCACTAGTCTTAAATATACGTAAGCATAGATAGACCATTTCTTCGATTCTTTCTGTTTCAAAGCATCATATTTTTTATCGGGCCCATGTACTTCTGAAACTGGACATCTGTACCACTTTTTGGGATGATTCCCGAGAATCATATAACCATTATCAATCATCTGCCTCAGAGATAAGTTGGTTATAGAACCCATTCACGATATGGAGGTTTCCAAAGTCAAGGGTACCCCAATAGCACGCTGGATGGTTGCTTTCGTGGAAAATCCATAGAATGATTTGGGGGTACCTCCATAGATTTCCATTTTAGGAAACCTCCTGCCATACAAACCCGGAACCGCTGGAGTTATCTTCACCAACTTCGTCACGCGGAGCTCAGGTCCGCACCATGTAAATGAAGCCAACGACGAAGGAACACAACAACACCTCAGCGGTGTTGCAAGGGACGACGAATTCTGAACGACTCAAGAAATGCTGAGCGGTTTATTTTGTGAGGGAAAAAAGTCTTGGTACTGTCTTTTTGTTGGGATCAAATCAAAGTCTCCATCAAAATTGTTGGGAAAACTCATCCAGCGACCTATAAAACCAGGTCATCCCAAGTTCGATTCTTGCTGGGAATCGCTCACTTTCACCCTTTTTTGCTGGCGAATCTACCATTTTAGCTGCCCTATATATATCCCCACATGGTACCAGTTGAGGTGATAAATGGCCAGAAAATCCTGCAACAAATCATCGACTCGGCAAATATCTAAGATACCAAGGGTTAAATCATGTTAAATCCTAGCTATGAACCGCCATTTATAGTGGATTTATAGTGGCTTGATGGTGGTGTTTGGTTGTGTTTAGATATGTTTGGATATTTTTTCTGGCAAAAAAATCCCAGTGAATCTTCCCAGATCGTTTTTAACAACGAGGAACCAGGAGGAAGGCATCGATGGAGGTCTGGAAGTCGCCAATCCAAGTGCCCACAGTGTCCATCAGACTGGCGCTCAAGGCGTTGATGCCTCGGTTGGGAAAAGCTGGATGGATACCCTCGGGTAAATATGGTAAACACACAATGTTCCAGTTCGCAAAACACCGAATTGTCTGATCAACATACAAAAGCGAACTGGAAAATTTGGTGTTGTGCGAACTGGAAAATCACCATCTTTGAGAACGGTAAATCAACGATTTCTATGGGCTATGTGAAAAAAAAAAAGTGAACTAGTTAAATTACCAGAGGGTAAATGGAACGCCTGGGATTGTGGGATGCCAACCAAATGGATGAGAAAAGACAGGCCGATTTCATGGCTCTGGCCTCCAAACCACTGGATGTCCGGTGGTGAATCGGGGCATCAACAGATCTGCCAAGGCGCCAAGGGCTTCCAAAGTATCACTCATCACATCTCCCACAGCTGCGATGACATCAGCACTCATCTTGAAAGTACAGTAGCTGGAGCCTTCTACCAACTCCTGATCAATCAGAATCAACCATCATGGGGGAACCAAAAAACACCAACACCAGTGATCAATGGGGTAAAATAACTATGGTGGAGATTCATCTATATAGTTGAATGGGCCTATCAGAATGGCTCATAAGCCAAAACCAAGGATGGAATCTGGCACCTTAGAGTAGGGGAAACACCATGTCTCAGCCCCACGGCATCATTTGAGGATTTCACTACTTAAATCCCGACATATTTCATAGCTTATCAACCTTATCAACATCAATAATGTCCCAACCCACCAGATTAACATATTTCACTCCTTTTTTTCCATATGTTCCCTTTTCTGGTGGGTTAACCATCAACCCTCGTTTCTGCTGGCGTTCAAAAAACAACAAAAATCTCTCCGTGAACTCCACGCCGGGCATTGGAACGCAGCGGGAGGCACTGTAGGGACAAACATCCTGCGAAGGCACGTGGGTCAGTTGGTCAGTTCACCCTGGCAGGTTTTCACACCCATGGATGCTGGTTGTGGTGTTTTAAATGGATGTTCATCCCCCAAAAATCGATTGTGTTTTGATGTGGATTGAAAAAATCCAGCACCTGTCTGGAATGATTACAACCTGTTGGGAGATGTGCGGTATGAAAAATCGCTACCATACAACCTGGTCCCTGGAAGATTCAATGGCAAGGCACAAAATCCAAGACATATTGATGGAACGTGTATCTTCATGGGAATGCAAACCGAGCGCAAACGAACGATGAACGGAGTCTGAAATTCAGGTCGTCATGCCTATGTGCAGGCCAGATCTTCAGCGGATATACACGTTGTGGGAGAATTTCAATGTCTCAAAGGTGAAAGGAGAATTGGATGCAAACAATTCACCAGAAAATCAGACACATCAGTATGGGTCAAAGAAGTGCAGAGCTGAACCAAGGAGAATGTGAAATTGAATATATCCAAAAAAGGGGTGCATCCCAAAATCCAATGGTTTTAAACCGCACTTTCCCATAAAGATTGCCACAATTTCAGGTCGGCGTACTCCATGTTTTCACAAACCTTCAGCCTGACCCAGCACATGACCCCGGTCCAGTGGCAGTGCATCAAACTTGAAGTTTTCAAGCACCACATCTCTAATGGTGATGACATCTTGCCTCAACAAAAAAACAGCCCAATTTTGTGATGCAAAAGCGTTGATCTATGGGAATCTATGGCACATATTCCACACATCCCAAGGTATCCAAGGTATTTGGTCTTGTTCGAAGCGTAGGAAACTTGACGCCCAAGACACCGGGTGCCGGAGTAGGTCGCAATGGTGTCGTAGGCCAATTTCAATTCCTGGGGATCATCGCATCAGGATGGTGGCGCATCTGACCAGCGATGGACACTGCTTTGGTGTGGCGTTTTTGAACACCAGCAATGGATGTCTATGTACCGTCAGCCCAAAAAGAGCCCCCAATTCAAAAGTATGAGTTCCTTCCTCTTTTGAAGAACCTTTGTCTTGACGTTCATCGTCATGCAACCCGTCAACGCTTAAACATTGAACATATATGTCCAAAGTTGTTCAAAATAGTTTCCCAACTACAGTATTACTCGTTTTCCGTCCCATGACATATGTATAGACGTGTATATATAATTATATATATATACACATCATTATATAATATATACACACATATTCCCGATTGTATCCCATTAGAATCCCATCGATCCCACTACATCACCATAAAATCACCATTAAAATTCCATAAACCGCCACTAAATCACAATTAAAAAACTAATACCATTAAAAAAAAATCAATAAATCACCATTAAATCATCATGAAATAGATACGAGTATCATAAAATTCCATAAATCACCATTTAAACAAAATAAAATTCCATTCAGCGCCATTGAATCAACATAGGAAACAAAAAATATACACCCCCGTAGACCCCAAAAAGTTTTTCCATATCCATTCTACCGTCTGCCTGTGTGCATATTTGTGGTTATACTAGCTCCTGATAGTGGCACGTTTTAGTCCATCTCAATTGAGAACAGCTTGAATCACAAGCTACGTTATCTGGGGTCTATGCTGGTGTAACTCCTGAGACAACAAGAAGACATAAAGGGAGAAAAGAACAGAGGAAAGGAAGAAAGGACAAATGAAATCGTGATGAAACAACACCACCCAAAATGGAGACACCACTAGCCAGAGCTGGAAACAAATGAAGGGAGACAAGTGAAGAGAGACATCTGGAGAGCCGGACACCACTAGCCGTCGAAAGCCAGACTGGGAGACAAGCAAAGAGAGACCAGTGAAGAGAGGCATCCGGAGACAACCAGTAGCCAGAGCCGGAGACACATGAAGGGAAACCCGGAAGCCAGAGTGAGAGACACAGGGAGACGCAGACAAGTAAAGAAAGACATCCGGAGAGCCGGACACAATTAACCCAGCTTTGCAACCCATCAGCATTGACGGTTTCAAATTCAAGACCAAGGGATACAATTGGAAGACTGGAGGAAGACCACATCTTGGAGGCAGATCGGAAACAATTGGAAAACACATTTGGCGACAAATGGAATACACTTGGAGACAATTGGAAAACGAATTCTGGGAGACAAATGGAAACTGTGGAAGACAATTGGAAGACAATTTTGAGACCACATCTGGGAGAGAAGTGGAAGACAACTAGACAGCAACCTAAGAAACCTTGGAGGCAACTGGGAGACAACATCTGGGAGACATCTAGGAGACAACTTCATCTGGGAGACAAGTGGAAGACTAGACAACAAGTGTAAACCACATCTGGGAGACAATTGGGAGACCACATCTGTACGACAACTGGGAAACAATTGGGTGACAAGTGGAAGACAGTGAGACAATTGGAAGACACCTGGAAGACAACTGGAGCATAATTGGAAGTTGTGGGAGACAACTGGAAGACGACTAGGAGACAAGGTTCCAATGCCCAGGACCCTGCTGGAAGATACAAAAATTGGGGGGACAAACTGCGAGACACAGTGGGAGACACAGCGAGAGACTTAGTGGGAGACACAATGGAAGACACAGTGGGAGAAAAGGTTCCCAGAACCCTGGGCATACATGCCAGAGGAAGGAAAGTCGCGATATCACCCCCCTGCTTCTAGAGACCAAGACCTAATAGTTTTCTGCTTCGGGGTATCAGTCAGAGTGGGAGACAAAAGGAAACAAATGAAGGAAGTCAAGTAGAGAAAGGCATCCGGAGAGCCGAACGCTCCTAAGCAAAGAGAGAAAGAGAAAGCCGGGAAAGCCGGACACCACCAGGCACATTGAAAGATAATTACCCTCTGGTAATTTAACATAGCTACTGAAAATGGCCATTAATACTGGATTTTCCCATTAAAAATGGTGATTTTCAATAGCTATGTTAAATTACCAGAGGGTAAAGGGAAACAAAAAACAAAAAACATCTGGAGAGGCGAGCACCACCAGCCAGACTGGGAGACAAATTCGTCGCGCAGACATCGGGAGGGCCGGACATGGCCGGACACCACCACCTGGACAGAGCCGGACACCCATTTAAGAAAGAATTTTTCGAACGCCAGCAGTAAACTGTTTGGGCAATTTTCACATATCATTCCATAAATAAATCACCATTGAATCAACATAAAAATCACAATAAGAATCATCAAATCATGATTTTTGCTGGTTAAGTCGTTGCCAGCCCAGCTTCGTTGTCGGGTGACATGCTGAAGACATACTCCCGGACCGCCGAAGTGGAGGTGTTGTCCGAAGTATCCACCGAGGCATTCCTGGGTGTTTCCACTTAAAAATGTGATTGTAATGGAAAAAATCATGGGATAGAAATTTCTAATATAGTAATATACTAGTAATATATATAACTATATCCTAGTATATTACTAGCATTATACTAATGATGTGATAGTAATATACTAGTAATATACAAATGGATAGTACTAAGATTAGTGATAGCAATGGAAAAATAATAATGTGATATGCTAATTATTGATACTATATTACTAGTAATATACTTTGTATTACAGTCCCATACTAGTTGATTCCAATACTTAGTATGTTTGATAATAATCAGTAATGTAATAGTAATAATAGTAATAAAATATGATACCTAGTAATGGGGTGGAATACTAATTCTTTTCAATCATTGTTACTGTCCCATTTATGATCATTGTAGTTACGTAAACACAAACATATGGGGATGAAACCTAATACTGCGTTGCGAAATCCTGCGCCAGTCGATAACTATTAGGTAACTATGAATCTGAACCACTGTAAATAATGGGATTATTATGGGATGAACCATATGGAATGGGATATGTAATTAATGAAACTGTGATCTGGGATAGTAATTGCAAAGTGGGACAAATACTGTATTTAACAATAATGAATGATAGTAATTATTGGTTTGCATTATCCCATGAATAACAATAGCAAGTAATGGAAAACTACAATAATAGTACTACCATTATCATGGGATAGTAAATTGTAACGAAGGGGTAGTAATAATTACAATTTCTATAAATTAAAACAATAATACGAATGGGATAGCAATGAGATGATAGTAATGGGAAACAATAGTAATTGTGAATTCCATAAGAAACTGTTCTTGCAATCTCATTACAATAAGTTCACATGATAGTCATATCCCATTAGATCTATTATAGTAATGGAACACACACACAAAAAAAAAAATACGAATATAGTAATAAGCATCTACTATCATAAGTATAACTTTCTTGAGTATCAATGGGGTGATAATGGTAGCGAGGATAGTAACAATAATGATAATACTACGAATAATTAGTACAGGATAATGGGACGAAAAAAAACATAGAATAATTACGATAGATTCATATTGTTATAACTATCCATTATAACATTGTATGAATGGTAAGGAAATTATTATACCACTATGCTATGCAATAAAATCACTATAGAACATTGATATATCATTCAAATCATGCATACGGTACCCAAATAATAGTAATAACAGTAAAGGTACTGTGAGTGAGTATGGGACAATTTTTTCGGTACCCCAATCGGATTGTTCAATCCGCCACCTCAACAGGTTCGGAACAGGTTCGCTTCACCAAGCTTCACCAGAGCGAAATTGGCAGCGCAAGAGGTCAGGCAAACCTGGACCAAAATCCCCAAGAAATTCGGCAAAACCAGGTGGGCACGATGAATGTGTAAAGTATATAGAGAATATAAAGTCTACTTAAAGTATATATAAAGTATATATATATTGTATATGCAATATGTTTTTAAGTATATATATAGTATGTGTAGGAGTTGAATGTATAAGATGTATAGTATATACAGCATGAATACAGTAAGAATACAGTAAATACAGCAAATATAATCTGTAAAGTACCTATAGTACATAATGTATATACAGTGTGTATTTGTATACTGTATATCCTTACAGTATACACAATATGTCTGGCATGTATAGTATATATTATATATAGTGTATACATATAGTATATACAGTATGTAGAGTATGTAATTTGTGTATATATATATATATTGTGTATATGGTATATATAGTGTGTGCATATCTATACATTGAAAGGTAAAAACGGTATATAATGTGCAATATATATATATATATATCGTACATATAGGTCTATGGTATGTAGTAATTATGTGGTACACAGGTGTTGGGGCTCGGAAGTGCTGCAAATAGCGTGTGAATGGTCAGTCTGGCGGCTTGTCTGGGGGCACCTGTACCATTCAGGGGCCAGCAACACGAAACACAGAACCATATATACATATATATATACATATATATATACATATATATATATACATATATATATATACATATATATGCAGTACTTCACTAGGACGAAAGTTGTTTCCCGTCCGCTGTTTCAGAACAAGGCAATGTATATCTGTTTGCGTCAATGATATGATTCCGAGGGTCATTTCGCGTGGCCTGCGTGGTGGATCGAATTTACTAGTCGTTTTATATTAAAGTCTTTTAAAGGCTACGAATGTGATCCTTGGTCCACGACCCAAGTAGAAACTTCCCAAGTGTAAACTTCTGTGTTAGGAGTCTATGGGGAAAGGGTGTTGGAAAGCCCAAGAGGATTTTTTTTTGTCTTGGCGGTGTATTATGCCAATTGTACCAATTGTGAACAAGTATGCCATACTATATTAGTTATCATTAGTTCTTGTTAATTATGAGTTCACAATGCCGTTGAACAATATGACAGTATCAGCTGCACAGCGCGGAAGGAGCGGGCCTCGTTGAAATAAAGGTTTGCTTCAGCCCACAGATCTTGGATCGCCTGAAGTGGTCAAACGTGGCAGGAAAATCCCCGAACTATGGAGGTTTTATGGGATAATCATCAGACTCAATGGGGGATAAAACCCACTTGTTCGTTTCATGGAATCACCACTTATGGGCTGTTCAGCAGCAATTCCTAAAAAAAAACAAGTAGAATACGCTTTGAAGAATAGTCTGCTTGGACTTTGTCACATGGCGAGTTTCCGGGAAACCATCCGTTTGATCTAAAACCGTTTGTACAGGATGGGGCCCCCAAGATAGCGTTCAGATGCCATATAAGTGGCTGAATTCTATGGTTTATGGTAGATATAACGAACTAGTTAATGGGGGTTATAATGGTTTATAAACCAACTTATAACTGGGGGGTACCATCCTGTAGTCCTGTGTTGTCTTGTAAAATTTGACCGTAATTTCGCCAAACCAACGACGTGTTCATCGGAGACTCAACCGGCGCCTTATCTATTCCACCCCCCCAGCTGTGCCTGTCCACCTGAAGGTGAGAAGAGGTTGTCAGCACTCACCTGTGGCTGTTGCGGTTGCCGTTGAGAGAGTAGAGTGCACTGTTGCACTTGTTCAACGAAATGACGAAAGTGCGAAATATTGCAGGCCATGATTTTCACCAGCAAACCGGAGGGCTGCTTATAAATTGCCCGGGATTTGCCGGAGACTTAGAACATACTCCTTGGATGTGTCCTTTTAGCGCTCCCCACATGAAAGTCCAAACCAACCGTACCTTCGATTGGTTGTTTCAAACTATTCCCCAATAGTCTAGCCATGTGGGTCAATCATCATGCCAAAAACGAATGGAACATACGGTACATCTTGGCTCTGGATCAAAACCTGCCCTCGTTTTCACATCACACGCACTAAAGCTGGATGTTCATCCCCCCAGACGGAAAAATCTCCGACACCTGGAAACCTCAAGAGCTTCATCTCCATACCCTTCGCAGCGGCCTTGCCAGTCAGTTCCTCCAATTTCTCTGTGATCACGGTAGCAATCGCGCCCTGAATCGTCCACAGCTGGGGTGACCTCGCCTGGACAAAACCTGCCATGAATGGGAGCTGTCCCATTCAAACTGGAACAGCTCCCATGGCTATTAAAACCATCAAAACCATCACCTGGGGTATCCAACTTGGGGGATGCATCGCACTTAGCAGGTGGGTACCAGCTGAAATAGCCCAGTTATATATGGTGCACATTGGGTTTGCAATCCACATCCATTCTTGGGACCTAAGGATCCACTGAGGATCCACACAGTGCTGGCCAAATCACCACCCACTTGCAATGTACCTGCATGACCAGTCAGGCTCGATCTCAAAAATAATATTCGATGCATGTGTATGTAAATATGTATGTATGTACGTACGTACTTATGCATGTATGTATATATATATGTGTGTGTGTGATAAAACTATAAAACTAAATAGTAAAAGAATGTGTATGTATGTGTATGTATATATATATATATGTATATACCAGGCCTTCGCAACTTTCCGACGGGATTCGGCAGCAGCTTGCCAAATACGCCTGGCAGCTTACGGTTGCAATGTTCACCAAGCCATCCCAAGAGTTTCAATCCCGGCCCACCAACATCCCTGAACAGCAAACCAAAGCCTCAACGGCTCAATAACCCACCAACCCGCCATGTGACCACCACAAACACGGGACCAACAAGCCGCGCAAACTTCGGGCCAACAGAGACCAGACAACCAAGAAACATATAAAGTTATACATTTATATATGATTAAATATATATATATACAGTATACATATTTAATCATATATAATCATTTATATATATATAATTATATAATTGTATATAAATACTGCACTGAAATGAGTTTGGAATGCCTAATGAACTGACACATGTCAACCAAGAATGAACGACAAAAACAAGCGGAAGACTGGGACACTCCCGAAATGGGGGCCATGGTATAACCGGTAGAACCTGGCCATGTTTAAGGAAAAATTGCCATTGAATCATTGGATTTTGAGGCTTTCCCGGACTAACCCATAGGGTCTGGCTGAGCTTTGGCTCCTGCGAGTCAGCGAAAGCAAGCAGCGGAGCTCCAAAGCCTAGCGTACCGAATCCCCCAAATCCGGAAGGATTCCCTAAAATTCAAAGTTTCACCGCATCATTCCTTAGGTTTGCATTATCAAAGTTTATCAATCCTTATGCATACGGTTTTTAGTCTTTTTAAATACAGTAAGAGCAATTCTGGAAATCCTATTGTTGTTGACAAAAAACAGCTCTGATTGATGATAACTTATCAAGTGCTAATATATGACTAGTTGATCGTTATACAATTGAGCAGTGTTCAAAACATTGTGTCGTCTCTATATACTGGCTTGTTGATAGGGATTCCCCTGATTGTCATAATCCCCAATGTATTGGTTAATATTATCCCCAAACTAATCATCACCCAGCCGGGTTTTACAATCTCATATGTTTTATCAATCCCTCAGGTTATATCAATTCTTCTATACTGCTCTCAATCTAATACCATTATCACTAACATGTTCATTGATCTTAATTTATCAAAAGCTATCATCACTAATCAATCTTTGTCATATTAGTGATTCTGGGAAGATAGTCATCCCTGTACAATAGTTGTAATATGTGTTAATTATAGCTTTATCATATCATAAAGCTATTGCAGTATACGGTTGCATGGTGTTTGATGATAAAGATGATAATCAAGTATCATAGGCTATCATCCTTAACTATCACTATATGATGATTTTTTATTTATCATTTAACTATCATATGATAATGATGCCCAGGATATCCCAGGATCCAACCAAGAAAACATCACTTCCTGCGTGGCGGCTGCGGCTGGGTGTCCCTGACTGGTCGTCTCAGAAAGAACTTGTGCAGCAGCCGTGGAGCAAAGCATCCTCAGCGGATGATACGACCAGGTGTTTAAGGGCGGTTTTCGTGGGATCCAATGGGTTTTTTTGTTCGGAGATATACCCTCTGGTAATTTCGTGGGTAAATCCACTATTTCTATGGCCATTTTCAATAGCTATGTAACAAATTACCAGAGGATAAATTTCAATAAATCAGCTTTGTAATGGATCAGATCACCTTTCCAGTGGAAGGATTTGCAGTAACCAATTTGAAACCTGGAGATTTTATGCAGGATTCGCAGATCGTCTCATGGTTTCAAACTTTGTGAAGCAAGTTGTAACCAACCTGCACCAAAAAGGGAGCGTCTAAGTCCCAAGATCCTGGGATTCGTGACAGATCCTGGCATGAAATTGAACCAATTGAACCGGTGTGAAAATGGGGGCTGCTTATCAGTATTTCCCACCACACATGAAAATCCATAAATAAACAAAAAGGGAGAGCTAACCGCAAGAAATATATGTTTTCAGCAACAACAAAGACGATCATAGCCAATGACAGGTTCAATTGCTGCCGGCGCATATCATGTTTAAATGGCAACAGTGGCGATGTACCACCTGACAAATACGAACTTGCTTCTGGTCTACTGCAATCAACACAAATGCGACGATCATCAACCATACCGATACAACTAGCAACAGTGGGTATGAAATGATGAAGTCGGTGTGAAAAGGGTAGATCTACCCAGCTATCTGTATATCGTCAATCCCAAATTGGGCTATGAGGAAAACTGGTGATGCAAGCCATGTTGGATCAGAGCTAGTGATTGATGAATTGGGATCCCCAGTCATGTGTTTTGTAGCGGAAATCATCTGGAAGTGGGCCTGGCCATTTCCCGCCAGCGTTTCTGGTATGCCTCACTGGGGAGGCTTTTCAATCTCAGTTTCCTGGGACATGATATGGAAATATATGGAACATCCGTCACAAAATATCTAAAAACGCGCTCCGCTTTGCGGACAAGTGACTGCTTGACGATGATGTCCGTGATAGCGCTGATGTTCATTGTGAAGCTTTGTTTCGTATAGCCTGCCCAACCACGGGGAATATTGAGGAATTCCGAATTCCCTTAAATACCCAAAATACCACTCTTTTGGAGGCCCATGTGAAGTCAAAAAATGCGGGCGGCATAACGGCATTTTTCGCCGCTTAAGCCTCACAACTATTGGATGGACATGACAGAAACATCTGGTCAAGTCAGCACAAACCGCGCCTTTCAGGTTGAGCCCGCCATTCCAATTGTCCTGATGTCAAGAGCCAAGGTCTGTCAAAAAAAAACCGATCACAGTCCCAAGGAATGTGTCACAAAAAAACGAAATTGGAATCTCCAATTCCCACGGCTTGTCATCATCCCATATCATCCGGCTATTGTATCCTCTGTCATAAAACATGGCGGCTGGAAGATCTTCCAGGTAAGATCAGCTGCACCTCGATATCACAGTAGGCTCCCATATAGTCGCGAGGTTGGTACAACCTGACCAGACCAAGGTTGGTTAACACTGACCCAAAATGCACTTCATATCACTTTATGCACTTTGGGTTTCAACATGTTTCAACCCATCCCAATAGGTTTCAAATGGTCGGTTTGGATCATCCAAATAGGGTTCAACAAACATGTTCGCCGACCAGGCCAAAAGTCACATGTCTCTGGTGCAGCCCCAGCCTTCCAAGATTTCCATCGGCAAGACCCATGGTTGTCACCTGAACTGCCAGCGCATGCTGGATTGTGTCCATTCAACTGCGACTGCTCATGAAGCGATGTGTGTACATGTACGCATTTAGTATACCTTGCGACAAAAAAAAAGATTGCGCATGCGCAATAGAGACATCAGTTTAGCCATGCGCAAATATGCCATGATATGCTGTAGATCTGTAGATTTCTCTGCAGGGAAAGTGCTGATCGTTCTGAATCTCTTGGCATATGCGTTTGATGTAGAATCTCCTCCCGTTGCCACAAAACTATATCAATGATCAGTTCTATTGTTCTATTGCTACGGATTTCCCTTGAAAAATATGGCCAGTCACTGGTTTTGACGAATCCCCGAAAATGTGTTTCAAATGTTTATATATATATATACAGTATACATACATTATAATGGGATTATAACTATGTTTACAACTAGACTTAACATGACTTACCTACCATAAATACATAATCACTACATCTTTAAGTGCTAGTTCCACTATAAAAAGTTCCCCGACATCGCCATCTCCGGCATCTCCGGCTGCTGGGCCAGCGCACCACTGCCCAGCAAACCCAAGAGGCGGCCAAGACCAGCAAACACCAACAGTCCGTGCAGCTGCGATTGGGCGCAGGACCGAACTGTTTGGGCCTCGGCCCAATCACGGAAGGACCAGAAAAATAAAGGAATGAAAGATGTTTGGGCTCTGTGTTGTTTACTTATTCATTCCTCTGTTCCTGTACTTTTAAAGGTGTGTAGATAAACAATTATGATATATCATATGTATATATATATATATATAATTATGTGGGTGGTGTACATACGTACTGTTATATACTATGAATAGAAGCCAATCAAAATGGTGGATGACATGGTCTTGGTGGAAAGATCTCAGGGACTGGATCCAGTGCAAACCCCCGAAAGCCAGGCAGCAAAGCCACCGCACTTGAAATTAGCAACCAGACATACCCTCTGGTAAACTAACATAACTATGGAAAATCACCATTTTACTTTTTTAATGGGTAAATCAACTATAAATATTCTATAAATGGCAATTTTCAATAGCTATGTTAGTTTACCAGAGGGTAACCAGACTGAACAAATACCATCGGCACTGAATAGTTCTTCGAATACATCCAAGACCCGCAGTGACATCTTGGGACAGGACTCCTCTGCTGTCGTGACATTTTGCTCCTGGCCAAGAATGCCCACAGCTGTGCTTACGTTCCACAAAACGGAAAGGGACCACATCATTGCAGAATGGGCCATGGGCCAGGATGGGCCTGATAGGCTGATAGGCCCAGAGTCTTGGCATTTAGCCTGTAAAAAAAAAACGAATCGAATGGCTATATCCAATGGCTATATTTGAACACACAATGCCATCTGTATTTATTGAATCGACATCTTTTTCCCCACAGCAGAAAGTCTCAGCGCGATGGGCGTAGGGCACCTCTGGATCTGCTTCTGGAGTTCCACAGCAGCAAGACATGGCAGATTTCTACCTGACCAAAAATCGGAGATGGATCAATCCGGCCAGAGGCAGTCGCAGTACAAAAAAAAACAATATATTTCAATATGATGTGTACGTGACACGTGTGTACTGCAACATGAGTGTATATAATATATACATATGAGTGTATATAATATACATATATATATATACATAACGTGTTGTAGTCGCAACCGTTTGAATCACTTGGACATGTTGGAAATCTTGCCCCGTCCCTTCGCCTCACTGGAAAGACAGTCGCGCACGGTTGAAAACCCCAACTTGGAGCCAGAGACATGCCGACGATGGCAGGGGATGCATCGCAGGTAGTAAGTTGTTAATAGCCACACTATAACCCTTTTGTGTAAGGAATATCCGCAGATACATGGGTTTTATATGGGCTATAAACTTCTTACCAACTAGGATGTACAGCCAATATTGGAACCTTGCCCCACGTCCATGAACCAGATACACAACAAAAACTGCGGAGTCACATGTTGAAATGAATCCCTACTCCGTGGTACTTGAGTTTCCAAGGAAACTGCACGCACGTCACACAAGCCTGAGACAAGAATGATTTTTCCGACTTGACCGGAAAATCAAAAGCGCCCAAGCAAAGCTATTTTAACAAGAAACCTTTGGGAATGTGACCCAGGTACCCTTCCCAGCTCAGAAATCCACTAAATAAGATATACATCATGGGATTGACATTTGAAATGTTTTATTATTTAATTATATTTGGCTTAGGATATTCCAAAATCCTATGAATGATTGATCCAACGTGCCCCATCAAAATTGCTGCACGTTTCACCAAAGCTTTCCAGCCTGTGAGCATCTTTGTTGGCCTGGTAAAATGACTCGCCTTGGGACTTTGGGTCGCTTCAGCTGCATGAAGATAGCACCGGAGGTCAAAATGCATCGCAATACTGGGAAGAAGTTAGTTTACATTCTTGGATAGATGGGTAATGTTGGTAAAACAATAATACACCATCCCCAGTTTCTCCATAGGTGGTATCAGCCATTCCCAGTCATGGGTGGTTTATTGTTGTTTTACCCACATTACCCGTGTTCAAAGTTTGAAGCAAAACACTGGTCCATGTGTGACGGCCATGGGATTCGCTCGAAATTTCGTGGCGCCGGTCGGCGATTTTCTTAACCACTGGATTTGGGGATACCCCATTTGACAAAGCCATAGAAATCCAGTCGGAGTTCACTTTCAGCTCAAGTGACTGGTGCTGCTGTGTTGGCTCAGCTCTTCCATGCGCGACATTTGCCGCAAAAATGGAGATTTCTGCCAATAAAGATCTGAGACAACTATGTAAAATCCGGTACAGGAAAAAACTGAGACCGATTGGATTCAGAAATACCCTTGCAATACATATGCTGTCTTATTCCCTTGAAGTACAAAAGAGAGATGTCTTTTGAAGTTGTATGGTGGATGCTGTGGCCGTCTGGGATCTGGTACTACATTCAATGCCAACACCGTCGAAGCCATGCTAGCATAACTGCTGAAGTGGCCACGGCCAAACCGACTTCAACATCTGCTCAGCAAAGAAACTACACCACTTCGCTGGGCTCTCTTGCACGCCCAACGGTTTCTCTTAATGTGTGACCAAGGTTCCACAACTGACAGCTATCTGAATCTCAAGAGCAATGTATATAAAACAGGCACTAGGTTACCAGGTTTATCGCAAAAACTGGCAATATATATATATATAATCCAAATTAATCCGATATCTTCGTTCATGTTCATTGTTGAAAGATTGTCCAAATCACCTGCGTTTGTGACATGCCAAGGGTGAGATGGCAAATTTCACCAGCGACTCAACAAAAACCGCCTCCGGCAAAATAGCACGGTTGTACTGTGCCCGCCGCTGTCTGGTGGCACCTTTCTCAGCCTGACTTCGTTCGACCCCCTGCGACTCAAAATGATCTAATGAATGGAAGCTGCAGTTCTAACATGTTCTACCCCTTGAAATACCCTTGAAATTTCATCCAACCTGGCAATGGAAACTCCCTGTGAGAGCGGAATGCTAGTTGTTGCAGTTGTTGCATGGGAAAATATCAGACATTGGAATTGCTGCGCCTTGTTGGTTTGCAGAAGGTTTGTGAATTCATCAAATGGTGGTGTTCAGCATCGGCAATATTAACAGGTAAAATTCGAGTTAGGATGCAAGCCCTCCTCAATCTATTGCTTTCACCACCGGCGAACTGCATCAAATCCACAAGAAAAATAACCCAGAAATCAACATCAACTCATTTCCAGGATGATTAACCCAGAAATAGAAATCAACTCAGATTGAAATTCTTTCCACCATATTTCCAAGATGTGTTGATGTCTTCCTATTGAAACCCAGGGCCCGGCTAGTCGTGCAGTCGCCGTAAATTTGGATCCCGGCATTGTTCACCACACTGGAGGCATTGGCCTCACGCTGGGCCAGAAGTTCGGCCTCAGCATAGTTTCACCACATTTCACCACATTTCAATCCCAATCTTATGCTGGGATTTCACCCAATCTATTGGGATTTCACCACATTTGGGGATCTCTAACATGTTCGGAGATGTTGTTGGTATTGCTTCTCACTGTTGTCTACTGTAGACTGGGCCATGTTCAGGGTTGAAATTCACAGCTCTAATTCTTGTAGTAAAACACGCTAGAGCTAAAACACTGCAAACCATTCGGATACCCATTCGGATACCCGTCACAAATCGATTTCTCGGGCCCACAGGACCTTCACCCCCCAACTGAGTCATGGGGCCGTTCGCTTTTCGACATATTCGGGTGTCTCGATCTGGGGCGGTGCTCACAAAACTGGATGGACGTTGATCCTAACTGATCCTAGTGTTGCAGCAACTGGTAGGCAGAACCATGGTGAAATTCCTCAGATATAAATCGGATGAAGCCAGGAATCGCAGGACTTACTGACCGCATATATTTTTTAACCACCCACAATCTGGAATTTGATCCAAGAGGGCTGGATGAAAGCCGTATGAATCATGAGCTCACTGATTTCCAAATCCACTGCAGTGACATTTCAGAAATTTCATATTCGTGGTAAGATAGTTTCAAATAGTATCAAGAGTATTTTTGAGAACACCCTGCAACTCGCCACTTGTGGCTGGTGATTTTGGGAGTGTTTTGAACTCCACGTGAACTGCCAAGTTGGGGGGTCTCCGGCCTTCATGAGACATTTCCGCATGATCAGTGCCTAGAAGGAGCCACTGCTAGACCCATCGCAAAGCTGAGCAAGTCATGAAAAAAATAATGATATAGAATGAATATTTATATATATATATATATTCATTTATTCATTCATTTATTTATTTGTTTGTTTGTTTATACATAATGTATCTATATCATATATCTATACTATATATGTTTATAATATATATATATGTGGGACATGATGGCACGATGTGAGAAGCTGAGAGACTCATGTTCCAAACAAATCCAATCCAAACAAAACAGATAGGGCACCATTTGGAGGTTTCGCAGAATAGGGCTACCCCCTCATCCAGTCGTCATGGATGACCATCACTTAGTATTGAAACAACGGTGACGACTGGGGATCCCCCAGCCATTAGGAAACTCATCAAACCGCAGTGACGACTGCGGTCTTCGATATCTTCGATCGACGCACCTCTTTCCGACAGGCCAGGATTGTGAAGATGCGCCCGACGCAGCAATCAATGTAACTGCGCAGCATCCCAGCCCCTCCAGGGATATCAGAGATGTTAGATGATGTTAGATGATGTTGGTATGGTGAATCAATGGAGTTCATCATGATGACTGGAGTTTTATTCATTCCTATGCTTTCATCGATGGTCCATGTCCATGTGGTCCAGGTCAAGAAGTCGCTTCGCCACAAGCTGAGAGCCGCACTCATCAATCTCTGGCTGGCATTTCTGGCGGGCTGAATGCCAAGCATGCCGACGCATAAGTTCCAAACACAACGCTTAACAATTTCACGGAAAGAAAAAGAAATACCTACACATGGTATGGTAATGTATGGTATACTATCACACGCATCCACAAATCATGCAATGGATTCAGTTGACTGCAGGAAATCCGCAATCCCAATTCTTCCGTCAAACTGGCCCCGGTCAATCTGGCATATCAATTCCAAGCTGCTGGTGAAAACATGTGAAACCCTGATTTCAGGCTGAAGTCCTATCCCAATCACGTCCTTTTGGAAAGAGATGAGTTTGGTACCTTAAGATGTACCAAGTACCCTAAGTACGACTGACCATCATAGTTTCATGATCTTTCATCATACCATGAAACCCCAAAATCCTCCCGCAACCACCTCCCGGATCTCGGCCCCAATCTGCTCCTTCACCTCAGATCCGCGGTCCGGTGGTCACCAGATGTCACCAGCCCCAATTTTTGAGGATTCAAGCACCATGAAAGGTGGATAGAAATGGATGGAAGGAAACAACTGTGACATCTATGATATTCTATGATCATCTATGACTCAGTGACTGTCTTGAAGTGTCTATGACTGTTTGCCACCTTATGCCACTTTCATCTGGAACATGAGGTCGCAAGCCACAGGGGGGTTGAGGAGCTATTCAAGGCGAAGACTACACCCCCAAGAACATCCGAGCATCCTAGAACAATAAGATATACTAACATATACTAACAAAAGAGCCAAACAATCCCCCAAGTGTCAAACATGTGCACCACAAACATTTCGCAACATCAGATGATATCTTTCAAATCAGCCCATGGTTCTCGTCCAATGCTTTCAGCCCTCTGCAAAGCCTCGGCTAAGGTTACTGACCACCTTGATCTCGCGCTGCTCCAGTTCGACTGCCTCCGCCAAAAAAATGGCCAGGGGTCAAAGCCATGGTCTTGGTTAGAAACATTCCCAAAAGACATTGGCCGAAATATCCGAAATGGAATCTTGAAGGAAAAGGTGTCTTCAACATGCTTTTTTTCCAACTGCTAAACAATCCATAGGTATTTCCTCACGGTGTCCACTATGTCCTGCCGCCTCTCTAGCTTCCAGGTACGGGATGCGGTTGTTCCGCATCCTTTCGATGGTCTCCTGCATGTTCTAAGCGCTGCAAAAAAACCTGTGGACCAAAGGACATATTGAAACAATATATTACCCTCCAGCAATCCAAAATTGCAATGGAAACTCACCATAAATGTGTTTCCCTTTTCTTCCCACCCGAATGGGGAATTTCCCATGTTTGATTTTAGGAAAGTAAAGCCAGAGTTTTTCCTTAAAATTGCTCCAAAAACTCAGAACTTGCTGCTTCATTGTGCCATCAGATGGTCCACCACGGGTTCTTTTTTTATTTCAAAGCGCCGGTCGAGGTCTTGCACTGGCGAATCTGAGCAACGCAATGTCCCAATGCCAGTTTTGGGCACACAAAAGATGGCAGGGTTTAGACGTTTAGACATCCCCATCTTTGGGGTTTTGACACTTTTCGACTTCCCCCACTTTTCTCAAAAACTGGGTGCCCTTCCGGCATCGAGATACGTCGCTGCTAGGAGATGCCCGTGGGTCCAAAGGGGCCGCTTTCGGGCCAGAAATCCACCGACCCGGCCCGAGCGCAGCCTTGGGCTCAGCTCACGCCATGTCACTGGCGTTGATCTTCGCAATCCTCAGCTTCCCACGGATCACCAGAGGTGGCTCGTTTTTTAATGGGGTAAACCATGGTAAACCCTTCAGTCATCCCATTCAACCCTATCCATAAACCATCAGCAAACATGGGATGTGTTTTTTTTGGGTTTGTTAAACAGGGTTTACCACATGAAAACTTTCATGATCCCCAACCATTCACCAACGGTCAGCTACGCCAAGTGGCTGCACTGGAGCCTTCATGGCATCCCGCCGGAAGGGCTCCCCGAGTTCCTCATGCGAGCAGAAGAAACTCACCCACCAAACGGAATAAAACCCAGCCGGAATGCTTCAATTATACATGATGTGTATACACATCGATATATAATACATATTTATGTATATATATATACATATATATATATATATTATAAATATATATAAATTACAGAACATAATGGTATGTTTTGAAAATGAAAACCCCTTTTTTGGGGCGTCTCTTTTTTGGGGATAAGAACTCTGATGGATCGTCCGGATAGCCACTCCTGGTTCAGCAGCACTTCCACCAGGGTGGTCTCCTTCCGTTGCATCTGACCCTCAATGGCCGTCTTCAAAGCCTGACGAGATCAGGAAAATGACCATGTTTCATCCATAATGCCAACCGATTTCACCCCCAAAACCTCTGGAAAACATGTTGAAAATGTTTGAAAATGGTTGAAAAAAGGGGTGCCTCACGTTCCATCCACGTTCCATCCATTTTCGTTTTACCGCCACGGCCTCCTCAAGCTCAGAGACACTGCCAACCTTCACGCCCTTCAGGCCACAAGCCTTGGCCATCTCCGCATATTCCACGCCTCGCAACAGGATGCCCGCGCTCCACCACGGGGCTTGGCTCAGTGTGTCCATAATGTCCATAGCTCACAAGCCATACCATTTGGTGACCGACTGCAGTGCCTTTGTTCAGCTCGGTGCCGACAAAGTTGTCATCGTACCACCTCAAATCGGCTGGGTCGTGTGGAGAACCAACTCCAGACCGCCAGACCGCCAGACCGCCAATGGTGAAACCAAACCATCTGATTCCCATGCGCCGAAGGACAGGGTGGTGTTGCGTTTCTCCGCACCCCACTGAAAGTTTCGGAAGACCACCATGGTCACAGGTGGCCTCGGATGGGCACAAGATGGCACAAGTACGGGTGGAACCGGGTGGAATATGTGGAGAATTTCAAGGTCGACAGATTGGTCGTTTGCACAACGCCGTACCCGTAACGCCGTTGCCCACAGTAGCGTTTTGAAGCAATGATATCAATATATATATACATACATATATATGTATATATCAATGATATCAATGATATCAATGATATCAATGATTCTGTCTCACAAAAATAAAGGACCCGTTGGAATCGTTGTTTCCACATGGGGATCCCTGCCAATCACCTCGACCACAGGCGGTCAGCTCGTTGATGGAGATGCCAAAGGCTCCATCGCCTGCGAAGCCCACCACGGGCACCTCGGGGTTGCCCACCTGGCAAGGCACATGTGTAGTGACAACTTCCAAGAGAAACACAACTTGACATACCATGATATACCATGATATACCAGCATTCAAATGGATAAACCAACCAACTATATGTTCTGAATGATAGTTGATGTGTCTTGATTCTATTTCATGCAAAGTTTGCAAAACCAGACCTTCTAATCTGTTGAGGTCTGCTGCTCCCTGCCTTCGCACCCAGGATGGACGGGAAACCATACCCTTGGTGCAACGTGCAGATCTCGGTGTGTGATACCGTGATACCTAAAATCATATGTTCAAAGTGCTAACTCGAAGTCCAAATTTCATCAAATTATAAAATGTTTGTTGATTATAGAATTATCATATTAGTTCATCAAATTATAAAATGTTTGTTGATCCATAATTATGAATTTCAATGAATTGCATCAAACCACTTCAAATCAAAATTCCTTGAGGATAGCCCTTCCAAGGTGCCCCGTTCCAATGGTTCCAAGGCACCACAGGGACCGAAAAGCCCAGGAGAGAGGTACTTTCTGGGCGACTGAAAGGAAGGGTAGGCGTTGCCAATGGCCTCAAAACCGCTACCCCAATGGGAACAACATAGATGGTCTAGATGGTTTATGAATGGGTGATTCCCCCCAAAAAAGGCAACAAAATATGGTTTGACCCATATGGACAAAATATATAAAAATATGATATGATAATCCCCAAAAATCATGATAATCATGAACCAACAAGGGTGGAAAGCAGCCACTGCGCTGCTAAGTGAGTCTGATTCACGTGCGGCAAAGCAGCGCAATTGTTGCCAATGTCGGAGGACATGATAGCCTTTGGAAGAATCAAACAACTCGAGGAGAGGTCATTTCAGCTGCAGATACTGAGAATATTGGAGCACAAACAGCGTTTTGCGGCAAACCAAGTGCAACAGTGCAACCTTACAAAATCATGGTGCGTTTTTCTCGCATGAACGAAGGTACATGCGACTACAAAACAACTGTTTGATTAGCAAAGTGCCAGTTGCAATACACTAAGTCACTAAGGGGCGGCATGTCGTTGTTACGACCGCATGCCAGGTGGAAGGTCTCAACATCAATTTTCCATTGAAAATTCCCCCTGATGTTTGGGGGAAAAGAACTATACTTCTTCAATCAAAAATTTGTCCAGTACATTCAAATAAATCGTCATTCACCATTTTCACCAGCTTTGCAGAGTTCGGTTTACCAATAACTATACCATGTTTTAACCTAAGATATTATTCAAGTATCTTTCAATCACCAGTTACCAATCGCGCAGCCAGGAAGCCTTATGTATTGGAAAAAAGAGAACCTAATTTCATCTATAAGATATTTACGATTATTTGGGGATGGGTCAATTTTGTTGTCTAGTATCAACCGTATCAGCCATGAAAAAATTCTGGTACCCAATTTTGACCCCAATCGCCATATCGCCATGCCAGGAAGCATCCTGGGGCATCTGTCGCATGATGGCCCTCCACGCCTGTCTAGGCGACATCCGCTCAGGTGCCGCCTGACGCGCGCGTTGGTTCCAGGTGGTGCCTTCGTCGTCCAGCTCGTGGTCCATGCCTGACGTTACAATGGGACGAAAAGAACCGGGGATGGGTCAAAAGTCCTGGGAGCCTAACATCTAAATGGCAAGATATGGCTAGATGTAGCTTAGATATAGCTTAGATATAGCTTAGATATAGCTAGATATAGCTAGTAAATGGATGTTGATCCCTCAAATTCTTGGTGTAATGAGTCGTTGTTCGCATGAATGATTGTCTCTTTCTGTGTATTGATCATGAACATCTCTTTTATGTCATGTCTCACATCCAATTCCTCAAGACTGGTCATCACATTTTGAGGGTACCCAATTTTGAACCATATCCATCTATAGGTACTGCCACCCATCACCAAACACTGTCGAGTTGGGTATCCACACCCAACTCGAGGAACTCTTTTTGATAGAAGAAGAAATGCTGAAAAGAACAACGGATAATTGTTCATCCCTTCTCGACAATGTGCAGTCCACTGATGGTACTTTGACTCGGTACTCAAGAAACGTGACTTTTGTGGATACTTTTCACAGTCTGTGATACTTTTGACATGTCTTCCTCTCTCGTTCTCTCGGTGCTCAAGCGAGCAGTGTCCCATCAAACCAGTCAGTATAACTGCTTGTAACCATCAGCCAGAACGGGTGTTTAGGGCCTTTAGGGTTTGCTTGCATGAAATTAAGCCGACCAATTGGAATCCGTTAAGCTCCCTGCTGTTCAGTTCAGCAGCCCATGCCGACTTCTTCTCCTGTCGACACATCTTACAGCTTCGTTGCGGCTTGGTGAGGAGAATCATCCCATTTAGGTTGGGATGGACGGATGGTGTTGGGATGGAGGCAAAAAAAGAGGGGAGAAAGGCAAAGTAACAACCCATTTTAAACTACAGCCGAACAAAGTGATGTTTCACTCAGAAAACTAAGTGAAAAGTACCGGTGGACCCCAGAAATCTGTCCAAAACACCCCATACATTTGGTAAAAACTGCATTTCCCAAGGTTTCTTAGCCCATTCTCAGCTTCTCAGCTGCGCTCCTTGATGAGCTTTTCACGTTCGGCCCGGCCGCTTTGCCCAGCCCCAGGAGCCAGTTGAGCCAGGAGATCTTCCTCAGCTCGGCGAGTGGGTACCATCTAGTGGAAACGATCATTCTTTCCCAATGACTATGGGAAAATCTAGGGTAAAATCATTAAACATTACTAAACAATACTAAACACATCATTAAACATCTATGGGAAAATCTAATGATTGTAATTTCCACTAGATTTACTCTAACATTTCCCTTCACAAAAAAAGAGTTCGAGATGGGAAAATCGACAAAATCCGCTGGAGGTTTTCCTGTAGCATTTCCCTTCACTTCTGGGAAGATGTCGCAAAAAATGAGGCCAAGGGAATCGCGGATTTGGGTCGTCTTTTGGAATGGATTATATAAGATGATCCAATTCAGGGGGTACCGAATATTCGAGATATAATATATGATGGATACATTATACCATATATATATTATCTATCTATCTATCTATCTACCTACCTACCTACCTACCTATCTATCTATCTATCTACCTACCTACCTACCTACCTACCTATCTATCTATCTATCTATATATATATACAATATATCATCAAATATACATATATTTAACCCATGCAAAGTTGGCAACGCGGCTGAATTTCTCTACTTCCTGGGAACAACCAGACATGTCAATTCATCTTAGGCAGGTTTTTGCCAAGCTTCAGCGACAAGGCCTGCAGGAATGCTGTTGGGGCCCAGGGGTTTGTCAGTGTGGTCTATGACTTAAAACTCACCAAACTATGGCTGAGAAACCATAGATGCCATAGATGGGATGTAAGGCTTAGTTTGAAAATGTTTGAAAAATTAAAGTTGTTGAAGTCAAACGAATCGCATCTAATCGCCACAAAATCCACAAATGTTCATCAAAAGTCCTCATTTTCTCCCGGCCCATCGCCTGCATCACCCTGGATTCCAACATCCACTGGCTTTGTCAGTCCGATGCGGTCGCCGTTGATGTCGACCTAGCCGGAGGAGCTCGCTGCGTGCCTTGTCGAACAAAAATGGGCCAAGAAAACCATGGTTACTGATCATGTTTTACAATCATGGTTTACGATTTGAACTTTAAACTCCAATTTTGTACCACATGTTTGGACAAACCCAGTTCATTGCAATACCAAAATTCATAGAAACGAGACTGCTCTTGGCGTGCTGAACACGAATTTTCCTTGATGTCACAATCCATGAAGCCCCAAAGAATTCTTCAAAAAAGGCAATCTTTACAAAGACATGGATTTCTAGGATCCAAGTTGATCCAAGTCTAGAAATCTCAGGAACCAAACGCAGCTGGAAGTTGTGCACCTGAATGAGCTTGGCATCCTTTGGCCAATACTCGATGCCATAGCATGGCAGCGTGGAGAAAGGGTTCAACCTGCCAGCCAAAATTCAACAAAGAGTCGTCAACATCACAAGCAGAATGAGGATGAGGATGGGCAATGGCCGCAATTGAATCTGGTGATTCTGTTCCGTGACGATCTGCCTTCAGTTGCCTTCAGTGTTGCACTTTCGTTGGTCACATGTCCACGCCGGCTGTAAAGCAACAGCAGACTCCACCAAGAAAACTCTCTGTTTTTCTTCCAAACTCCCACATAAATCAGATACATCGAATAACATATGTTGGATATATCACAATATACACATATATCACAGAATCCAATATTATATATATATATGAACATATAATGTGTATATATATATATTATATATAATGTATATATATATATATCATTAGATATCCTCTAGATATTACATATTCTAAATCATATCAAACAGTTTTTTAAATACACAGCCCCACCTGGTGCCCAACGCCAGCACCACATCTGCTTTGGAGATCATCTCCATAGCGGCCTAACCAACATGAGATTCACGGATCAACAAAATGCCAATATATCATGAGCCAACAAAAATTGCGGAGATCAACCTGAACTGATGAAAATTACTCTGTTCCAAAATATGGACTCTCAGAAATAATCAAAATATGGAATCTCAGAAATAATCATCCCATCTTTCAAGATGGAAAATAAGTTGAAACATGTTGAAACCATCAATCAGCCGAGTCAATGAGTCGGACTCCGTTGCAGTTCCCACGGCACCTTGGAACCGTTGTAGCCAAGAGGTCCCACGTGCAAAGGATGGTCACCTCGTATGTCCGACGCTGGTCGCACAACATCTCGGCAAATCATGGCAAATCTAGAAGATTCCTATTCTTGCTATGATAAAAGATATTAAAAGGCCTAAGATTCTCCATTATTAGTAATTATTAGAAGATATTAGTATTATCCCAATTATCCCTATTGTTATGGGTATCATTAGGATTTATTGTGATGGCCTTCTGCTCGAAACGCTCTGAAATCTTGATGAATCACCTGGGAAGGCATCGTTGTGCTGATAGTTGCAGCACACGGGTGCACCCAACTTCTCCGCCAATTTCACAGAAGTCTCCTGGGCCAACATGGCCAACATGAGGCATCTGGCAAAACGAGCAAAATCCAAGAGTCCAAGAGATCTCACTGATGTTGACCCAATGGCACAACTCAAAGGGGGGCATCAGGGAAATACCCGAAAATTACATGGATGCAAAATCGCAAATATGAGTAAAATATAGTAAAATTACCAAACTTTGTAGGTTTTTTTGGTGTCACCGAGAACCTCCTGATTTCCAAGTCGTCAAGGCTCTACTGCTCCAGAGAGAATCACACCGGCGCCATTGAGCAAGACCGGGAATTTGGCCTTCCAAAAGGAGCTGACCACAGCACCATTGGACCATGATCCCACTGGTCAGAGGACTTCATCCCATACAATAGTTGGTGAGTCATGGTGAGATGGGTTGGATTCAAACAGACACAACCATTGAGTTTAAAATCCTATGTTTCCGAAAATGGTTCCTATGCCATGCATCCTACAGATGCATCTGTTCTCAGGTACGGTATGGGTCAGAACTTGGGGAGTTTCCCATATTTCCCTATCTCAGCTCCATCTCACCTGATCTCCCCCCCATTTTGCAGCAACTGTTCATCAAGAAAGACCACAAAAAACACAAGAAAACTGCCATAAATCACAGGAAATATCAGGATTTTAGATGTTTTCCCATAATTTCGCAACAAATCTCGGGAACTACATGAACCACCATAAATCACCACAGCTTGTTTCCCCTCCATCGAAAAACCACCCACCGGCCTGGGACAAAATCTCGGCCGCCTTTTGGGTGGAGGCTTTGCCGCCTGCGGAGCGTTCCAACTTGACGCCCGTGGGCAGTGGGAACTCCACCACCTGCGCGAAGGGGTTCTCGATGGATGAACTTTTTTTTGTTACTTCTATAGTACAGTAACATACAGTAACTATAGCAACTTTATTGACTATGGATAGATCTAACATGATCTAACCATCAATTGTATATAATAGTACACATCTTCTTATTCATACTATATTACAGTATATTCATTGCTGTTTTAATTGGTAATGTTGCTTTTCGATCTTGTTGGGGCTATAGTTGACCATAGAAAGCTGAAGGGGTTGGATTTTTTGGAGGAAAGGAAGTGTAAATCTCGAACTTTGGGATCCAGATGCGAAATGTGACATTTGATTGTCACAAATAATTAAACCAGTTTGGGTATATTGAACGGGACACGCAAAAAAAAAACGAACAGTGATACTGGAAGCCACTAAAATCTCATAGTTTGACGGTCCTTTTCATCTTGTCAAGTGAATGGTGAAAACATAAGTGAAAACATAAGTGAAAACGATGAACATAAGATGCCTATTCAGCCTATCTGAAATGAAAAACGAGGCGCCTGTGTCCAGAAGTCTCGAGGAATGTTGATCTGTGCAGGGGCACTGCAGTGAAGTGCCTGGGGAGTCCCAACTTGTCACTTCGTTCACTTCCTCAAGGAGTCCCACAAAAAAACGTTGAACTCACCTTCTGTTCAGTTTGTTCAGTTTCCAGTAGGAAACAGTAGTGCGACCTCCTTATCTTCAATTGCCGTGGCTCAAATTTTGGTCGCCAATCCCCAAATTGGCCACTCTTAGTTTGGATTCATCTGAAACTTTACCCCAAAGATCGCTGGATTCGAACATCATGAACATCATGTTTCATATTTTCCCCAGCAATTCATAGTAAATCCCCCATATTTTGTGGACAAAACCATTTTGTTGGCCATAAATTTGGCACCTTCTCGATCACACGGTTCAGTACCTCGCAGATGCGCGTATGGTCCCTGACCTGCACAGTTTCAGTGACTCGGAGGGGTCAGTGGATTAGTTGACTAGAGTCACTAGAGATAGTTAGTTGAGCTAACCAAATTTACTAAGTCCTACTAACCAACGGAAACTTCTATTTCTGTCCGTTCAACGCAGGAAAAAAAAACGAGGATTCACCACTCGGCCGATGAATCCATATGAATCCCTGCCATCCCATCCGCCTCCTCTTGGTAGCACACGCTATCCTTGAACATGGCCATCTGTTCCACTTCTTGAAATCCACCCTGGCCGATGGTCTTGTTGGCCGCCTGGCACCATGGATTTCAACAACCATGGGATTGGTGAAATTGGTGAAATCCCCAAGGATCCCCCACAAGGCCTGCGGAGTAACCAACAGTAGTGGGGTATGATTCCAGAAAGCCGTCTTCACAGGCGTCACAAAGTTGGTGATACCAGGTCCATTCTGCGCGATCATCATGGACCTGTCAATGTGCGGCTGGACACAGATTTGAACACTAATGGTAATCATCGGTTGTGGACATGTGGTTATCATTTGTCGTTACTGTTGAATAACTTTGGTTTAGACAAATAACTTTGAATGGTAGACCATGGTAGACCAATATGTTGTGGTTGATAATTTAAAAACCCACAGCGGAGTGGCAAGTTTGCTCCGAGCAGCATCTTCCCAGTAGTCCTGGTGTAGCCATCTGCCATCATTCCAGCATTGCACTCCTTGGATTCGGAAAGATGTGGAGTTGTCTGAAAATCAGATACCCTCTGGTAATTTAACATAGCTATTGAAAATGACCATTTATAGTGGATTTACCCATTGAAAATGGTGATTTTCCATAGTTATGTTAGTTTACCAGAGGGTACCTCAGGTACCTTTAAATCCATTGCTAAAAATAATGATTTTCCAAACCTCAAAATGGCCAAAATTTACCTGCAGCACGTGCGATCCGCCCCACAGGTACTTCGTTATATATACACTTTCATAGGGTATTTTTCAGGGTTTCTTTAGGGTTTCTTTAGGGTTTCTTTAGTGTTTTTTTTAGGGTTAATTTAGGGTTTATCTTAGGGTTTTTCGAGGTTTTCTTTAGGGTTTATGAAAAAGTGTTGAAGCGAAAGGAGTTCAGCCGATTCCCCGCAGATGGTCATCAATCACGTCCCCGGCCACAAAGTACTGTAAGGGTCACTCAAAATGAGGTTCCCGACATCCGAAAAGAGTTTGGGGCATCAAGAATTTACTGGTGGATACTGGTGGTATGTTCTCGCCTTTGACGAAAAATGCATTGACGCCGAATCCAAGGTGCATGCGCACAATCCCAGAATTTGATGCCTGCAAGGGAGATGAAATGGCAAGAAGTGTCACATGCCATCCACTTGAAATGGAGAACAATAGCCTCAGAAAATTTCATAGATTTGAGACATCATTTCATCCACTTTCTATATGATACAATGTGATATAATATGGTGTGGTGTATATATATATATATTATATATATTATATTATTATATTATATATGTATTATATTATATTATATATTATTGTTATAGTTTTCGGCCCAGTTCTTTCCAGAGAGTGAAACCGAGCGTCAGCAAAAGACTGGGAGATCGTACCTCACAACATGGATTTGCGCGTTTCTGAGCTGCAACCTGGTTCCATCTTTTCGATTGTGGCATGGGTGGAGAACACTGAGCAGGGCATGCTGCTTTGCACTGGAGTTTCCCCGCACCAGGTCTTCAGTGTCTCTGGTGCGAATGGAGTTTCTGAGGGTTTGCATACCTTGTATGATGTCGTCAAGGCTGAAGGCAATTGTTGTTCAGTGGGAGAGGGCACTGAGATTCATGCACACCCTCCAAAGGATCCATTTGCGACCATCACTTTGTTGGACTTTTGTAGTGGCATGGGTGGCTTTTCCATAGGATCTAGCATTCTTGGAATCCAAACGGCTGCCTTTGTTGAAAGATCACCATTGGCATGTGATGCATTGCGATCCAATTTTCGCAGTCCAGTACTCCAGGCTGACCTGGGGGATATTAATACCCTCAAGAGAATCCACCCTCTTAAGGGCACAGGCCATGTTCAGGCAACAGGAGGATTCCCATGTCAAGGATTCTCTAGACAGGGTGATCAGTATGGTATGGATGACCACCGAAGTCATAGCCTGTACTACATCTTGCAGAGTTCATGGCTGCTCCAAGTGGACGAGATCTTGCTGGAGTGTGTTGCCAATGTGGTGAATTTTCCATCAGCGCTGCAATGCATTGACGACTTTGCAGCTCTCGCCAACATGAAGGTGATGAAACTCAACTTTGACCTTCAGGACCAATGGCCAGTTAGGCGCAACAGATTCTGGTGTAGACTCTCTCACAAGGATTTGCCGCACATTGACATTCCACGTTGGCCAGTGACTCATGATTTCCAAACACTTGGAGATATTATGCCACTTGATGCCATGTGGGATGAACTGGTTGAAAAGCAATTAGAATGGGATCCAAGTGAGTTGGCTTTGTATTTGGATCCAAGTTTTGGCACTGACGAAAGGCTTCTTTGTGCGCAGAGCAAGGCTCCAACAGTTTTGCATTCATGGGGCCATGTGAATAGACCATGTCCTTGCGGCTGTAGGGCAGCATTCAACTTGGCTCGACTTCGCAGTGGAGGAGCACGTGGATTTGGCCTTCTCTCCGCCAGAAGTAGTCGCTATCGGCATTTGCATTCTGAGGAGGGGGCCATGTTGTGCACAGTGCCACCATCTTTCCATTTTCCTATGCCTCCACGTGCAGCTCTCAGCCTTCTTGGTCAAATTGCGGCGCCTTTGCAAGTTCTTTGGGTGCAATCTCACATTTTGGCCTCTTTGCAATTTCACCACTGGGGATGGACGGACTTGGAACCTCTCCAGGCTATCAAAATCTTGCAGAATGCATTGCGCACCTACTCATTCACCAGATGGATCACTCCCAAGATGTATCAACCACGAGACATTCAACTGCAGTTGGTCAAGGAGGAGGTCACTCATGTGATTCAGATCAACGAGCCTACCACAGTTGGGCAATTGATCCAGGCCGAGAATGCTCTTTGTGGATGGGGCCACTACGTGATCATCACATGTCAGGGCTACCGAATGCATCCAGAGGTTCAACTCCTACCAGGGGTGACATATGAGATCAAGATCTGTGTCAGCAGACAGGTGAAGCCATGTCCCTTTCCAACACCGCTCTTGGGAGGTGGATCAGCACAAAGACACCTTCAATTGGGAGACCGGTTGCTTTGGGACTTCATGCGGGAGATCTCATGTGCTCGTGATGCAGAAGAATTCCCTCAAGAACCATTCCTGCTGCCGCCCTTCCAGATCACCCACTTTCTCAGGCTGGATTTGCCGTCTGCAGTGCAGCAGACCTGGATCCAACGCAGCTCCTGTGGATATGGGCCTATCTTCATGATCTGTGAACTTCACGGTCATTGGATTCTTCTACATGGACTCTGGAATTGCCAGCATGATGGACTTCATTGGACCCTTTACGATGGACTTCGAATGGGTCAAAGCTGGCCATGGGCATATCACACAGCCCAGAAAATGTCCAAGACATTGCAAGTTGGATTTTCAGGGATGACTCCTGGTGTTGGACTTTGCCAGCGTCATGCCTTTACTTGCGGCTCCATTGCCCTGATCCACATGGCTCAGTTGCTTCATCTGATACATGACGTTTCTGATGACCAGCTCCAAAACATTCACTTTTGGCTGCTTGAGCGACAGCAATGGCACCCAAGTGATCTCTTTGCCGGAGGTGCCGAGAACACTCAGCAACAACTGGCCAAGCTGCTGTCAGAGAAGGGCGTCCCCTTAGCGGCATCTTCAGATAGGGCCAAGATGATCACCGGCAGACTTGGACTTAAACAAGTCCAAGCAATTCTGCAAGCTCGAAATCCCTGGTCTGACCTCAAGTCAGCGGCCAGCAAGCCAGGGTCAATGTTTCGCTTGGTCACACAAGACGAACAGAAGCTTTACATTGCCGAGCGTGCCAAGACCAAACACGGCGCCAAGATTGCCAATCACAAAGCCAAGAAGCAACACAAAGGAGCTCACCCGAGCCAACCAGTCTGTCTTGAACCATCTCAGTTTGACTTGGATGCCCATCACTTCAAGGATGGTGATGATCTGCCTGTTCCGCAGATCCGCTACGAAGAGGTGGAATCTGAAGCTCGAGGAGTAGCCCTATGCACAACAGAGATGGCGCGTCATTTTCTGGACAAACCTGACACCATCAGCACAGACGCCTTGGCACTGCTGCTTCTGGACAAGCCTGATGATGAGGCTGTTCAAAAGGCACAACTTCAGCCTATCATCATCCCAGCCAGATTCAAAGGCACAGATGAGCACACTTTGATCTACGGCCACATCCTTCAGCTGGGAGACAATCATGTCTTACGAGAACTTGCCAGCCAAGACTCCAACCCAGACTTGGTCGAGACCCAGGTGGTGAAGTTTCAGGTCTTTCGAGACCAACTCAATGGAGATTGGACGTCATTTGCTCAGGCCCCCATTCGGGCATTGGTGTCTATGATGGACTCTCTACAACTTTGCAAGGGCTCCAAATGCGGTGCAGCATGTGGCAAATATCATCCTGGGCTTGATGAAACGGTGGAGAATGTCATCTTTGAGATTTGGGCCAGGAGTTTCTTCGACGCCAATGGCCGTAAATCTCCACAAGACCAAGCCAGCCTTTTCACTGTCTTCTTGCGTATTCCTGAAGGTGCCCTGGGCAAGTTACTCACCAACACCCCGGTTGGAGTGTATGCAGAGCCAAGAGGGTCAAAACCTCGAGAGCAAGATGATCGATATCGAGTCGTATGGCTTCCTGGCGTCTCTGCGGAAGAAGCTGCACATCAATGCCGAACCTATGATCGGGCGATCTGTTTGACAAGACTCCGATTTAAATACGGCATCCGAGTCAAGAAGGAAGATGAACAGGCTGCTTGGTCCCATTTGCGACCGGGCACAGATTTTGTGGCCATGAACTTGCAGCACATCTACGAGCTTTTTCCAGTCCCACATGGAACTCAACGGCATGCCATTGTGAAGCTTCTTTCTGACTGGAAGTGGACTGCCAGACCTTTGCAGCCAGGACGAGGCAATTACCATCACATGTCTTGGCGTGTTGGTTCTCAGGATCCTCCACCCCTACCAGTCATGACAGGTTTCCAGAATGACATAGTCATCACACAGGTGAAGGAATTGAAACAGCCTGAGCATGAACAAACTTTCATTGCTTCTACGAAGACACAGAGACAGATCCGTGCGGCACCGGCACAACCAGTGACTCCACCTGCAATTGCAGACCCATGGCTGGAGAGAAAAGAAGATCCTTGGGCAAGATATGGCACCAAGTCGACACCTTCCTCATCGGCTGATGGCAAATCCAAACTGACTGCCATTCAAGAACAACTGCGGTCTGACATCAGCAATGACATGGCACAAAGTATGCAGACTCAAGCCAAAGAAGCAGTACAAGCGGCAGCAGCATCATTGCAGAGCGGTGCTGGACAACAAGAAACCCGCATCAAAGCACTTGAAGTGGGTCTCAATGAATTGAAAGGCCAAAATGCCCAATTCAGCACATGGTTCCAGCAGGCCGGTGAGAGATTGCAGGCTACAGAATCTACGATGGGTGCAATGCAGCAAACGCTCAACACTCATCAGAACGAGCTCCATGTCTTGGGAAGCACATTCCAATCCACCATGAAGACAGTCAAAGATGATCTGTCCTCAGAGATGAATGACTCCTTCAACAAGCAGCTCAGCCGCCTTGAGGCGCTGCTTGAGAAGAAGCAGCGTCAAGCTTGACTAGCGCAAACCGGTTCCGAGAATGGATCGACTCGGAAGCCGGGAGGTACAACAAGATCCACTCTCAGTTTTGGATGGATGCTCATGATGTTGATGGTGTTCATTACACCATCCATGGCTCTGCAGCAGCAGCACTCCTTTGCCCGGTTCTTCATCGACAGCTCGGCAGCTTTTGCTGACCGAGGTTTGGGGTCGGGGAGTTGCGGCTGCCGTGTTCCGGAGTCAAACCATTGGTCTTTTATCGGTCATGCCCCATCTTTTGTGTCTTCTTTGACGTTTGAAAAGTCAGTTGGTGGTACAATTAGATATGGTGAGGCGCTGCACCCTGGTCCTCACATGGGTGAAATGCTGACTGTGGGCGTCAGCAATCCCACTGGCCTCAGACAAAAGGAAGACACCTTATTGGAGCTTGGCCCTGGAGTTTGGTCATTGGCTGAGACTCAACTTTCTGCAGCCACTTTCAAAGCATGCTCTGGAATTTTGCGGCAGAAAAGCAGAGCTTTGAATCGAGAAGTTCGCCTACATGGAGGTGCTCCAGCCCCCTTGCGACAGGGATCTACGTGGGCTGGAAAATGGACAGGTGTTGCGGTCATGTCAGACCTGTCATCGTCCACCTTGGACGTGCCATGGCCGTTGGAACATTGGGATAGTGGGCGAGTTTTGCTCACGCGGCATTGGGCAAATGCCATGCCTATTACCATTGGGACCATATATGGCTTTGCTCAAGGACCAACATGGCCAAAAGCCAGGCAGCTGACTGATCAACTGCTTGAAACTTTCACCACGGAGCTGGTCCTGGGGATGAGTGGTGTCAGATTGATCATTGGGGACTTCAACCAGAACCCAGGACAATTGACACAACATCAGATCTGGATGAGACATGGCTGGCAAAATGCACAGGATATTGCTGCTCAGTTGTTCAACCATGAGGTTGTCCCGACATGTAAGGGAGCCCATGAGAGAGATCAAGTTTGGCTTTCACCAGAAGCAATCAATTTGCTGCGCAATTTGAAGGTGACAGAGGACTTCCTGGATCACTCTACAGTCTCCATCAACTTGCAAATCCCTGAGAAGGAGGTTTATGTCCATAGATGGCCAAGACCTGCCAAAATTCCATGGGAGCATATTGATACCAGCAATTGGAACCCAACCTGTTCTACCAGCTTCACATCTCAGCAAGATCCTACAGTGTTTTTGCGAAACTGGGCCCATGATTTTGAACATGCGTTAGTACAACATGCCACTGCCACTGGTGGATTCACTTTACCAAATCGGTGTCAAGGACGTGCTCAACGCCTCACCCCTGTGAAGCAGACTCTTTCTACACCAACATGCAAAGCCAGCCGTGACGGTGAAGTTCGCATCACCAACTCTATGGCTGGTACTGCAACTAGGGTTTGGTTCAAGCAGTTGAGAAGGCTTCAAAGCTTGAAACATGCAGTGCAGGCGGCAAAAGACACACCTGCCGCGATCACATACAGGATCGAGCTCTGGAATGCCATCAAGAGGTCCCAGGGCTTTGTGCCAAATTTTGATACTTGGTGGAGCTCAAGGACTCACCAGATTGCCGGGGTTCCTCAGACATTGCCCCAGGCAGTTCCACTCGAATCGACAGTGGTGCAGGCCATCTATGATAGCTTCTTGCTGCACTTTCGGGCTTTTGAGGCATGGCACCTCAATGAACGTTCCAGAAGCCTGAAATCAAAGTATGAGGGATCTCTTGAGGCTATCTACATGGACCTGCGCCCTGATCCACGACCGGGAGTCCAAACTCTCTGGAAAGAGGAGCACTACACCATTTTGGCTGTAGATGCGGAAAGCCAACAAGTTCATCTTGACAAGGATGTACAGCAACATGGTGATTCTGTTTGGCTTCATGATCAGCACATGCTCAATGTCATCACTCATTCTGGAGACATTTGCACAGTTTCGTCTTCAGAACATTTGATGGTTGGGGATGAAGTTACCCAGAGGATTTTTCTGACGGGCGTTTCAGACATACTCCAAGCTTTTGAAGCGCACTGGACACCAAGGTGGAGCATTCTGGCGCAAATTCCTCCAGCTGACTGGCAGCGCATTGTGGACTTTGCAGGTCACTATATGCCATCCTTCAACTTTCAGTGGGAGGAACTCAGTCTGCCTAGTTGGAGAGCCATGATCAGAAAATTCAAGCGTAAGGCAGCTCGAGGCCCTGATGGATTTTCTGGTGAAGACCTCAAGCATATGCCGGATGGATATGCTCAACCTTTGCTGGACTTGCTTCAATCCATTGAGCAAGAGGATACAGCTTGGCCTCAACAGCTGGCCTTCGGCACGGTGATCGGGCTGAGCAAACAAGATGGAGCGCATGAAGAAGGTCACTTCAGACCGATCACCTTGTTTCCAACAATTTACAGAGCCTGGGCAAGACTGCGCACAAAGCAGATGATTTTGCAGATGTCCAAGTATATTCCACCTGAAGCACTGGGATTTCTACCACAAAGAGAAACCACCGAAGTATGGATGATGTTGCAGGCACAAATCGAGTTGATGGTTCAGATGCACATGGACTATGCTGGACTTTCTACAGATTTGAAACGTGCTTTCAACCACATAGGCAGGAACCAAGTTTTCCTGATTGCGAGGCATGTTGGATTGCCACACCAACTGTTGAGGCCTTGGCAGAAATTTCTCAACAACTTTGTGCGTAGATTTGATGTGCATGGATGTTTGGGCACGGCACTTACGTCGTCATCAGGTTTTCCAGAGGGATGCCCTCTGTCAATTCTGGCTATGCTCAATGTTAACTGGTGTTACCACATTTACATGCGAGCGTTTTGTCCAACAGTGGTTGCATACAGTTTTGTAGACAACCTTACTTTAGCAGCACGAGATGCACTTGCAGTGATCCATGCTTTTTTTGCTCTACAGTCTGTTTGCCTGCTATTTGGCCTGATGACGGATGCATCTAAGACGTACGTATGGGCATTGTCTAAGTCATCCAGGGCATTGATTGGACAGCTGGGATTTGAATGTGTCACTGATGCAAGTGAACTTGGTGGTGCAATGACATTTGGCCGCAGTCGGCGAACTCGATTGTTACGCCAACGAGGTTCCAAATTGCATGCCAGGTGGATGAAGTTGAGACACTCCCAAGCACCTGGACCACAGAAAATGTCAGTGCTATCTAAGGTGTTTTGGCCTCAAGCCCTGCACGGCTCAGCCAACTGTCTCATTGCTGAGACTTACCCCATGGAACTGAGACGTGAAGCCACCAAAGCACTTGGTATCAATGGAGCAGGAGTCAATCCAGTTTTACGCTTATCACTTGCGGATGACATGCGTAGTGACCCAAGTTATTACCAACTCCATCTCTGCCTTTCGACTTTCAGACGTATGCTGCAGAAAAGCCCTGATTTGCTTACTATGTGGCGAATATGGATGAGCAATTATGATGGGCATCTTATTCCTGGGCCCTTTTCCAAACTTATGCAGTGCTTTCAGATGATTGGTTGGTCAGTCATTGACCCACCGATGGTAGCTGATCATGAAGGTTTGTCATGGAACTTGATGTATCTGGACAATAAAACCCTGAACACTGTTTTGGAAGATGCCTGGCTTCAGTACGTTGCAGCGGGTGTTCGTCACAAGACGATGTCTGATTTGCGGGGCATGGATGGTTTCCTTACGAAGTTGGGCAGCACTAAGCTGTCTACTCTGGATAGAGCACGTCTTGCAGCTCTGCACTCAGGAGCATTTATCAGCAGATATGAACACTCCAAGTATGACACTGAAAAAACACCAATGTGTGCACTTTGTCAACTGGAAGATGATCGTTTGCACTGGCTTGTCTGCCCGCGGTTCCATCACATTCGTTGCTCTATTCCGGACTGGTGCCCCGATAATGTGGAGCTGCCCAGATGCACTTTGCAGCATCTACTGGTCCCACGGCAGGACGTGATGACTGAGTGGCGAGCGCTCTTGAGTGCACCGGAGGAAGATGGCATATCTTTTTTTGTTCCTGCCCCCACAACTGGTTTCCAACACTTGTTTTTAGATGGTTCTTGTATTCAAGATTTGTTTCCTGTGCTGAATAGGGCTGCATGGGGTGTTGTTAGTGCCACAATGGAACAAGTGGTTGCCATGAGCCACCTAAAAGGGGTCACACAAACCATAGACAGAGCCGAGCTGACTGCGCTGATTGCAGCGCTTCACTGGACTTCTGGCACTGAATTGGAGGTATGCCTTTGGTCAGACTCTCAATCCACGATAGCGGTGGCTGAGTTTATTCAACGGCATCACATGCTACCGGATGGGGTAGAGAATGCGGATCTTTGGGTTCAAGTTCTTGACCTTTTACAAGACAGGGGCACACTATTCACTGGTTTTCGCTGGATTCCTTCACATCTCCCTGCGGAGGTTGCCGAGGACTCTTTTGAGGAATGGGTCATCAAGTGGAATGATGCAGCAGACAGGCTTGCAGTGTTTGCCAATACTGCTCGTCCTCTGGAACAACGCCATTGTCTTGTTCGGGCACAGGCGATTCTTTCTGGTTGGGCCAAGAGGCTCAGACAACTGCAGCAGTTTTACTTCCAGGTGGCAGAATTCACAGGAGATGAAGAGGCGTTACCAGACCATGTTAGTGTTGTTTCCTCCGAATCTGAAAATGATGGGCTCTGGTTCTCATGGGCAGACTCACTACCCATCAACTGGAAGGTACAATGTCAGCATGGTGGCAAGAAGGTGCCAGGAGACTTTTTGGTCTCTGTCGTGGAGTGGGTTTGCGCTGCTGAAAGACTTGAAGGAACCGTCAGAGAAATCAACGAAGTTGAATTAGTTTTTTGCATTTTTTCTGGATAGGGAATTCAAGTTCCCCTTCTCAATTGATGGTTCGTTGAAGCTGTGCATGCGTTGTCCAGATTCTTTGTTTCAACAACCAACACTTGCAATGATGCTTAGGCCAGTTCAGTATGCTTTGGCTGAACTGCACAAGCTTTTTCCACATGTTGTGATGCAGACAGTGCCACTGAACCGGGTATCCCTGGGTTTGTACAAGAAATTTGCCGGTCTGAGAATCCATATTCCAGACGATTTGTGGTCACTTGTCCAATCACGTGTACAATCTTTTACAGCTACTAGAGCTGTGCGAAGGGCATGTGACTTGGCTCGCCCGGCCTAAGACAAGGACTTGTTGCGGCCGCACTGCATTGCCGTGCGTCGCAGCACCCAAATCAGTCCGAGCTATATATTATTGTTATATATATAATCCTACTTAAGAATCGCTCTATGAAAGTCTCCCCTGCGCCCGATGGGATGCCGGCCTGCAGCTGGGAAGAGATCTGAGATGGGCATCATAGCAGAGCCTGAGCCGAAAAAAGGGCTGAAATCAGTGGCTCATCCAGGAAAATCAGGAAAAATCCAGGAAAAACATATGGAAAATGTCCCACTTCTTCATAGCAATTTAGATGTCTAGATGTTTTTTTTAGATGAAAATCCAGAGATGGTGAGATCACATGCCCAACTCTGCTAGTCTGCTGAGGCCCAAAAAAATCTATACATCTACTCTTTCAGCTACAAAGGCGGTCCTTTTTGTTGCCAAGCATCCAATGATTCCAAAGGCATTCTTGATACCATGCCTTGGAGGGTTTGCAAGGATCAGCCACGTGATGCCCATGTCACAAGTGGACGTGGGAACAGTTTCAACCCCATCGAAAAGGTTCTTGCACTTGCAAAAATCTGACCTGTCCTCCAGTATTGAAACATGGTTGATTGGAAATCCATGTTTTGATAGCAGAATAACCTGCAAAAAAATACCAGAAGGTACTTTTTCCATTGCCAAGTTGAATAACCACACCAAAGGTACCTCAAAATTGCTGCAGTTTTTGTTTCGCACGCATTTCTAGCAACAGCGAGTGACATCTGCAAGGTCTTTACGAAGGCTTCTTCAGTGGTCATCCGCATGGGTGCTTTCCGTTCGCCATGCACGGGTTTGGCGGCCGCACTGAACCTCGGCTTGACAGGTATCCCTCTGGCTATGACTACCGCTGTGCGAACTGGAACATCCCAATGGATTGGTTTAAGGGAAAATATACAGGAAAACCCGATATTTAATGGGAAAATTGATGGTTTCCTGTAGATTTTCCCTTAAACCAATCCATTGAACATGACCATTTTTGGGAAAAATGCGGAAATCATCACGTGTATCATCCCTTTTTATGGGCCATTTTCCATGGCAAAGTGTTCAATAACCAGAGGGTATCCCTGTTGTATCTGGTTTAGGGTCAGTATGTTGTGCCCATTGGGACCACTCCTGAGGTATGGAGCAATATGGTGCAATGGACAAACACTTATCGTTGAACCTGGGGAGTCCTAATTTCTTGGATCAACCTAGTCACACTGTTGAACTGGAATTGAGAACTTGAGTAACTTGAGACCTGGCATCAGACTCCACACCGGCTGACAGCCGCTGGATCGGCCCTGGTTCTGCCAGGGCACGGCCGCAGCCCAAACGACCTCGGCCGTGCACAAAATCGTGGGCCAGGCCCAAAACGACGCGCCATGGCCATGGTGCCACGAGGTGCCGAGACGAACAGCACTGCGGTGTTTCTTTGGAGTCGATTGTGATCACAGTATATCATATATATATATGTGTGTATGTGTATATATATATATACATATATGTGTATATACTGTGTATATATATATATTATATATATATGTATACATGTATGTATGTAGTTGTTCGTAGTATCTATTCTTGGAGTTTCATGTTTCGGCTGTCACACATCATCCCTGCTCAGTCAGCTCCTGTGGCCAAAATCTCTTGCGATGCGCGCGATGCGCGGGCGAAGCTTCAAGCCCTGACCAGCGAGTTGCAAGATGAAAATATCTACTGGCATATATAACTTCTGGGGATATATACAGACCAAAATATAGAAAGATGCCGGTAGACCTACATATATATATATGTATGTATGTATACGTGTATAATTAATACATATATATATATATATAGTTATAAAACTTATGGGGATATAGTGGAGATAGAATGGGATATACGTATGCATATATATACATAACCAATTGAATATCATCTGGCTTCGTCCACTGGTTCTTTGCACTGCGGCACATGAGCCCCTACCAGATTATAGCCCCAACTGGCGTATATAGTGATATAGTAATCCTACCCATGTATTCACAAGTCTGTATAAACCTAGTACCGGGCATACCATTGCCACTTTCCCACTTGTCCGTTGAAAACTGGAATAACTCCCGAAACAAAGCTAAGCAGTCAGCGTTTCTTTCCGGTGTCATCTAATCAGGGCCTAGGTGGCAGCTGAATTCACCTGTCCCCGTTGGGGGACGGCCTACCGAATCTACGTGTGGCAAAAGCTTCGGGGACTTCGGAAAAATGAGGAGCAAGCTTTTTTTGAAGAGACTTTGACCATCAGATTGAATGGGATTTAACCACCATAATGGGATGATATTTATATGTATATATATAATTATATATATAGCATATGTATATATATATAATCATATGTGATTATATATATAATTATATATATGTACCATAATGGGGATCTATGATCTATGTAGTTCTATATACCCGACATTAGCCGACAATATTGAAGGATACAACGGGTATGTTATCTTTGCATGACCACTACACCAGGATCCGTTGTTAAGCATTGAGCATGTCGGCATTGCAGAATTGAAGAATTGCGTCCCCGAAGAAAAAGACCACAGCTCCAGTTACCCATTCGGGTGGTGGCGCTCCTGTGGCATGTCATCCAGTGCCGCAACTGAAAAACATTAGAACCAAGCTGACAAGTCACATCCAATGGGATGGTAGCGGATCGATTTTAGTCCGTCTGCATACCCCCGCTTGTGAGGTATATAGTTACCCCCAAAAAGATAGTGGGTCACCACCAATTTAGTAGGATTTTGCTTTTCTACCTTTTGAGGGGCCTGCCATACAGCTGAAATGACAGCCTTTCGTTGCGATTGCATGACTGCCCTCGTCGCGCAAAGCATGCAGAAAGGCAAAAGGACAACGGCTAAGCCAGTTGCTCTTCGAATTTGGTCTGGCTCAAAATAGGCTCCAAGGATGACTTCCGCACGAAAATGATGCAATATATCTAAAATAATATATATATATATATTATGTGCGTGTATCTTATATATATATCATTATATTCCCAGAAGATTTGATGAGTACTTGATTTTGGGACAGGCCCATAGACATGACCGCCATGGTCACTATATCTACCTTTTTCAAGCACCGTCAGCTGCGCTGCACTTTCTGGCTTCCGTCTCACGCTTTGCCAGCAATGGGTGCCACAGGCAGCTTGATAAAACCTGCTGTTGGAGCAGCTGGTTTTTTTGGTGCCACAGCAATCTTCACAAAATAAAACACATCGGATGACAGTGGATCCTACACAGCTTTTCATGGGCTATGATGCAGAAATTCAACTCTACTCCGCTGGTGACGAATCGTCAATCGGCTGGCACCTTGCTTGGCATCGTATCCACCGGCTTTCCGCGTGTCTTTGAGGACCTCAGCATCCACGTCTGCACTTGGGATCCTTCTGCCAAGCGTAGCCAGTAGCAGGTAATCTGTAGGTGCACTTCATCTTTGAAGATGTTTAATCAATATATATATATAATATATAATATAATATAATATAATATAATACAATAATACAATACAATACAATACAATACAATACAATACAAAATATAATATAATATAATATATTATACTATATATATATATGTTTGAACTAAATGGACCAGTTTCCAATGGCTATTTTGGCTTGGGGGTACTCCTACGCCTACGGTACTGTTGTACCCAGTGAAACAAATCGGTGGTGCACCCAGCTGTTGAGTCCCAAACTGCACAGCTACTCGGCTCCTGGTGACGACAAGTCTCACCGGCTGCGTGTTTGCCACAGATGCCATTTGTTTTTGTTGTTTGTGAAGTTGCATCTGATTTTTTGTGGCAAAACCATTCCAATCAATTCTGCACCTCCGGATCGGTGAGGCGGAACTGAAAGACCAGAAAGGGCACCCAGCTGGGATTCTCGGCACCTGGAACACCCGGGAACACCCGGGAACACCGTGGGCGAAACCATGGGGAATCCATGTGCTCATTGGATGATCCTTGCTCCATGCGGTACCAAACCCAAACCAAACCCAAATGGTTTCGAATCAAACGTGAAGGTATTGCAGTGGTTTTGAAAAAAGTTTTGCTAGATCCCTGCCTTTCTTGGTTCTATGTCTGGTGGCATCTTGTTTGAGAGAATGAGCCAAAGTTTTCACACAACGGAACAGCACCCAGATATTCCCTGATAGTAACCACTATGGGCACCCCAAGAACACGCAATTTTTGAGGTCTCCATCTATCCATTGCAGCTACCACTGAGGTATGGGTGTTGGTATCATCAACCCTGAAAATTGCATGATTTACCACTAACAATCGCCATCTCTGGGTCTAGCCATACGGCTCAAGCCTCAGAGGTTTTACCTGAGCATCATACCTGGATCGTCACAATAGCCTCGGAGATGACATTACTTGACCCATTTGACCCATGGTGGGGATAGCCCTGTGAATTGGTTACGAAGGAACTTATGAATATCTTTGTGGAGTAACTTAGAACTTAGAACTCAATATTTTTCATAAAAATGGGATAACCAAAGATATTGAGTTCTTTGTGGATAACCATGATAACCCACTTAGGGGACGTATTTTCAAAAAGGTGACCACGTTTGTCGATCCATGGGATGATCTTCACAGGTGTCCCAAAAACGCACGGTGTCTCGGGGGTGTGTTGGAATTCAGCCCCTAAACAGCAACGGAACCTGAAACTGTTAGCACAGGAACACCATGGAACTCACCCAGAGGGTTTTCATTCTGGTTTTCAGATGTTTTCAGCATCACCAGTGACTTTGTTGATCTCAGGGTTTTCCCGGTTCCAAGAATTTCGTCCCATCGATGCATCGATGCCACAGAGCGAGATGTGGTCACCATCTCTCAGCGGCAACGCATCGTTCGACCTGACGGGCTTGGAAGCCTAGCCCGTCCCATCAATGGATGGGAAAATCGACAGGAAACTATGATTTATAGCCCAAATAGATGTCCAAACCAATTGATTCATGGTGTGGAAACTTCAGGACCACAAAAACTGAACCCAAAATGAATTACATGTGTGTATATATATATACATGAATTGTGTGGACTGTGGACTGCAACATTCCCGTGCTGCACCTCGCCTGCACAAGTAAGAGATTATCTGCAGACTCTTAATACGACCCATGCACCCCTCAAGTTTGGCAAGTTTACCATGCAACAATGTGTCATTTTCAAACAACCCTTGTTGAATGTTAAATGAATCACTTCATCTTGCTCTCAATTGGTTTTACCATGTCTCAACACACCCTACAAGGTGGTACTCCCCAGTCATAACAGTTCTATATGATTCTATATGATTATATGTTTCTTGGTGTATAAACCTGATTAACTAGTTCATATCCCATAAACATAAACATAAACCATTTTCTAGAAAATTGACATGCCTATGTAGACTCAGAAACTTTGTCTACAGGTGGCTGAAATCCAGCCTTAAAGCCGCACATGAGGACAGCGTGCCCACACCCATACCATTCCTTGGTGCCAAGCAGGTGCCAAGCAGGGTACCAACAAATTACCAAGAAATCTGGATCGAAAACCGAACACCAACACACCAAGTCCTTAGGTGCGGCACTTTCCCAGGTTTCGGATGTAGAAGGTGCAGGGAATACGTTCTCCCCAAGCACTTTGACCTGTGGCCTCCGCGCTCCGCGCTGATGCTGCGGGGTGAAACTTATGGAGCGAATGCCGGTATAGTATGGTATAGTATGGTATAGTTACTCCCATATTTGGCATGAAGAATCATGAAAGTTGACATTGCCAGGAGATGACTAAAATCTGAGCGTTTAGAGTTTAGAGCATCTCAAACTGTCCCGAAATGCAGCTGTGAATCGGAAATCCTGCGCCGCTGGGGTTAATTTGGTGTAGAATTTTCACTGGGCCACATCTGTCCCTTGGTGTCTATGTCTCAGTTTTCCGTGTAATTTGCTCTGAAATTAAAGCTGCTCCTTATTTCTTATGCGCTTGCTATCTCAGATCTTCCATGAAAATATTCTTTCTATCTCAGCTGTTCTGTTGAAGGCTGCCATGATCGGAGTTCAGCTCATTCAGCTCATGTCATCAAGAATTCTTACTCATTGACATGTCTTCATGTGTGTATTCCAACAGATCATGGGGATTCAACATGATTCAACCACATAAAAAGGTGGCCCCACTGGATGCCTTTCCAGCCGTTCCAGTTTCCACTTCGATCTCGAAGGCTTTGCGACTGATGCACTTCAGCAACCTCGACCCGTCGATCTAGGAAACCCCATGGTGCCATGGCAAACCGGCAAGGCATCCCAATTAAGTGGATAATCATCATATAGGGCATATATGGGCATATGATATAGCCCAATTCCATATGGCTTGTGGCTGGTATATGGGTTGGAATCCACAACTTGCCCACGGATTTTTGGGGGCTGCCGAGCTGTAGATCATACCCTGCACTAGTCATGTAGGGAAACGATTTTTACTAGACGTCCTGGTCCAAATGGATATAGAATGATACAGATCAATATGGTATATTTCTAGTTATATACCTAATCCTACTATCCTACTATATCCATTCTATATCCTACTATTCAACATCATACCCCCTATACTCTATACAAAAAGATATGCCATCTGGGCCCATTGACATTCCAGGGCGAGTCTGGTCGCCCCGCAGGGGGTCCGGACTGGTCAGAGAGGATGGGCTGCAAGACGCTCTCGTACTCTGTGCGTCCGAACTAAGCCGTGACCGCCGTGACCAGATTGGTCCACTGAAATATGGAGTCATCCAAAGCAAAAGCTGAAATGGGATGAAAATGGGATGAAATATAGGTTCTCCAAGTGACAAATCACCTGTTGATACAGTTCAGTGAAGTAACCTCAGCATTCATTTCAGTGTCAGCACATCCTGCTGAGGTGGTCACCGTCATATTCCGCACTTTGATTGGAGAGCCTCTCTCTGCCGCCCTGGCGTCACTTTTGACGAAATGGGTAATCTTTTTGAAGCACCATGAAACCATCGCACTCGGATGGCAAACATCTGAATCATCTCAGTACTTTGGGAATGGTGCAGAACGAGGGGTCTCTTAGCCTTTCCATGTTGAATGGTTGGACATTCCATCCCTTGCAGAAATTACAACTTAAAAGCACTGAAGCCCGACTCGCTCGGTACCAAAAAGCTGAGCAATTTATGGGCTGCAAAATTTGGAAGCTTTCGAGATCTCCGGAGAAGGGCTGCAAAGTCATCTCCTTTTTCTCAGTGAGGCAGATCATCCATGACAGCCTGAAGCCTAGAGAACTCATGGGCCACCTTTTGCAGCCACCACCTTTTGTGGTTGGTTCACAAGGCAACATACTGAACGGATCTGAACGGTCGGTATCTCCGTTTTCACAAGCCCCAAAACAGTTGAAGGTCTCTGAATCGCCATGGTGCTTCACGGTGGTCTCTACACAATGTTCATGCAAAGTGCAAGCAGCGCAACAGACAGTCTCTTGAAGCACGAAAGTGACACACCAATGTTTGGAAAGGTCAAGTTACACATCTCAGCCAATTCGACTGCGGTACTCGCCTTTTCAAAGCTTGATGAGCACAGCACCACGGTTCCTCCGCCCCCCGGGCTGTGACAGCCGGAGCTATCAAATATCCCGCCCCGTTCAAAACCCGCATTGTTGTAGTCGGACATTCCCACGCAGTTCCAAGCAATGGCAGCTCGACCTGAACCAATGAGGCGATAGGATATCAAACCCTCCAGATTTCTCTCACAACGATCAAAGCAAGTGCTGCATTTGGCTGCTCGCTGATGGGCCAAGTTAATCTCGTACACCGCTGGGCCAACGCAACCGTGCTCGGCATACACAAGAACTATCGGATCTGAATAACTTGTGGTGCTTGTGGTCGTAGTTGCTGGACCATCCGGACCATCCGCCAGGGCCAGCCAAAAACACAGCCCAAGCAAGAGTCTCAACATCGCAATCGAAGCCCAAATGATCTGCTCTGCTTGTGTTGTCCAAGATAGTATTGTTACTCAAGGAAACTATTGATGCAATGGAATATCATAAACCTGATTGACTCTAACTTTCCAAATGTTCACAGCAAGTCGCGTGTTTCTTTAAGTTTCAAGCAAAGCAACAGCCAATCTTGCTGGAAATGCCGGCAGATTTTTCAGGAAAGTCAGCAATGCTAGGGAGAGCCATCTTGATGACAAAGGTATGCTTTGTAAGTTGCTCATGGTATGTTCTTCATTCTCCCTACACCATCGGGGCCTCCACTCGATGATAGTGGGAGGAACCGCCGCTTGCCTGGAAGTCACCAGCGGTTCCAGTCAACGGGGCAGCTTCGGGTCTAATGTCCATCTGGCTGAAATTGGTATGGACTAAAATTGATTAAAATCATTTTCCCCTAACGGAAAATGATTTGCTACAAGTAATGAGTGAACACTTGGCTAAAATTGGAACCCAACCCATCCATGTTCAGCACTGGCTAGCCATATCTGGATAATCAATAATAAATCACTTGGCCATTGAATTGATGTTTCACCCTTGACATTGAATATAAGTGTAACTTTTGTCTTGTATATGTATTTGTATATATACATATATACATGTTGTCTATTCATATTTTATCTATTCATTGACAGTATCTATCTTCACAGATGTGTTTTTTTTTCATGGGGGTGTCCCAGACGTCGAGTCCTTGCAACTGATCCTTGTAATCATTTTATTGATTTAATCATGTATATTCAATTTGTAGTGATATATTCCCATAAATGTTGTCAATGTCAATGATATAGTATTCCCATCATGTTGTTATAACATTCCCATCATTCCCACAAAAATACCATACGTTTAGATGTTGTTGATGAAATCATGAAATCACCATTTTTGCCAACATTAGTTCGTTCCCATCATGTCCCTGAGATTCCAAAGCCTGTCTTCCACCCAGACCACTTTCATGTACCACAGCAGCGGTCGCTCAAAAACCTGCGCTCCATGGTGGCTCAGTCTGCACATGTTTGAAGGGCCTGCGGTTCCCAAGGAAAAATTAACGAGCAAGCACTTGAAACCAAGGTAAAGTGACGGTATAGTCCTTCTATCATTGGAGGAATTCCCAAAAGTTGACGCAAAAACAAAAAAAATATAGTATTGACTATTGAGCATTTTTCTAAAAATCAGGCAAATGTCCCAACCAATGGGATTCAAAGATTTGCCAGATTTTCCCATTTCTTTACGGTGACGACTGCGAAAAAAAGGAGCCTGCTGCCCACAGTTTGGCTTGACAGGCCTGAGGATGGCCATCATGGAGAAGGTTAGGACCATAGGCCTATGACAAACATGGGGACGTAACGAACCAAAGTGGAGATTTTACCACTCATGGGGATCATATCGCATTCCAGCTTGTCCATTTTGATCCATTTTGATCCATTTTGACCCATATCCAGCTGGCTTTGAATTTATGCACCAGTCAGGCGGTCTAGCAGCAAACATCTGCAGGTACGCTCAGCTTAAGCCACCGTCCAAAACTGTAGAGTTAGTTATTCCCAGTTGCTGGTTGATGGTTCCAAACAAATCATGTAGCAAAACTGATCCCGAAGGTAAATGGTCTATAATAATACTGTAGCCACCAAAACAATCAACCTGGGTATGCCTTTTTTGTTGTGCTTACTTCGCTAGTACCACACTGCCGTGCGGCCAGCTGACTGAGTATCATCGCGACTGTCGACTGGCATAGTTTTGGCACTGAGAGATTATTGTATAACGCACGTTTTCGCTACAAAATTCATGATCATCCAACCCTATCTTCCAAAGGGTAAGTCGAATGAACATGGTTCCTGAGTGTCCCACGACAATGGAGCTGGAGCCTGGTGGAGCGGAAAATGCACTAAATCTGAGACTTGATCTGAAATACCAACTAATGTACCCCTAATTTTGATGCTTTGTCATCCTCTTCCACGTTAGAATTGTCATAAATACACTCCCAGATACAGTGAATACCAATTTTTAACTATATGGATCCCCCAAATCTAATGCTACAATCCATGATATCCAGTTGAACAGTGTTGAAAACCCTCTGTCGTCCCTTAAAGAACTGCCTCGTTAAAAACCGGATTCCCAGTTTATGGATTATGATAGATTACCATCATCCCCAATATATTGGGCAGCATTATCTCATAAAAACAAAAAAAACATCGATCAACCATCATTTATCATACTCTAAACCCATATTTCGGATGGTTAGATCATGTTAAATCCCAATAATTATGTGGGTATATATTCCTATAGATACAGAATATGGGTTTATATAAACCTATTTCAGGGGGTATCCGTCGCCTCAACCTCTGCATCTGGCAGATCCCGCATGCTCCGAAGCCTCAGAAAAAAAGGATCTAAAGCATGTTGGGATTATGGGTATAACGTTGGGATATGATATGTTATATAGATTTTACATGCATCTATACATACATGTATATATATAATATACATATGTAGTATATGTAATATATGTAATATATGTAATATATGTAATATATGTAACATATGTAATATATGTAATATATGTAATATATGTAATATATGTAATATATGTAATATATGTAATATATGTAATATATGTCATATATGTCATATATGTCATATATGTCATATATGTCATATATTACATATATGTCATATATGTCATATATGTCATATATGTAATATATGTCATATATGTCATATATGTCATATATGTAATATATGTCATATATGTAATATATGTAATATATGTAATATATGTAATATATGTAATATATGTAATATATATAATACATGTAACAGATGTTATACATGAAACAGATGTAATACATGTGTAATACATGTAACACACGTAATACATGTAATACATGTAATATATGTAATAAATGTAATATATGTAAGAGATGTAATATATGTAATAGATGTAATATATGTAATATATGTAATGGAAGTAATAGATGTAACATAATATACATAGATGTAATATAAATGTATATATATATATATGTAATATATCTACTATATCTAATATATGTAATATCTGTAATATATGTAATAGATGTAATAGATGTAATAGATGTAGTAGATGTAATAGATGTAATAGATGGAATATATATCATAGATGTAATATGTGTAATAGATGCAATAGATGTATTGTATGTAATGTATGCAATGTATGCAATGTATGTCATATATGTCATATATGTCATCTATGTCATCTATGTATTCTATGTCGTATATGTCCTATATGTCATATATGTCATATATGTCATTTATGTCATGAATGTCATATATGTCATATATGTCATTTATGTCATGAATGTCATATATGCCATATATGCGATATATGTCATATATGTCATATTTGTCATACGTGTCATATATGTCATATATGTCATATATGTAATATATGTAATATATGTAATATAGGTAATACATGTAATACATGTAATACATGTAATATATGTCATCTATGTCATCTATGTCATCTATGTCTTTTATGTCATCTATGTAATATATGTCATATATGTCATATATGTCATGTATGTGATATATGTCATGATGTCATATATGTCATATATGTCATATATGTCATATGTGTTATATATGTTATATATGTCTTATATGTCATATATGTCATATATGTCATATATGTCATATATGTCATATATGTAATGGATGTAATGGATGTAATAGATGCAATAGATGTAATAGATCAAATATATGTAATATATGTAATCTATGTAATGTATGTACTGTATGTACGGTAATCTATGTAATGTATGTAATGCATGTAATATATGTAATAAATGTATATAAATACATGTACTGTGAGTATATATATATACAATAAATAATGAGATATTATTGCTAATTTTCAGGAGCATTATGATCTTAAGCCCGTGATCATTGGGGTGACTTTTCAATCAAAGTCTACAGAAGATCATGATTATCGCGGAGTTATCTCATCTATAAGTTTTTAACTACATAGAAAACCCATTATGATTCAACCAAAGCCCAAGCGATACATGGTATCTATGGGTCATGCCACAGGTCACCAGAACTTGGGAAACCCAACAATCGCACCACGTCTAAGAAGTCGGGGCGCTGCTCCTCCGTTACAGTCGCGAGCCAATAATTTCAATACGGATGATAAATGTATATAAATGTGCATGCACTTTCTTTGTTCTCTTTATTTTGATTTTATGTGTGATGTCCAATTCTGGGTCCCTTTTGGAACGCCAGGCTTCCGCTGTGTTTCGCACCTCATCCTTGGCATGCGTGCAGTTCAGGGCTAATTGACCTCAGCTTCAGAGCAGTTCCCAAAACCTGCTGGTTGGTAGAGTGATGAGAGTGATGACACGATCCAGAAATATCTCCAGAAATATAAAGGCTAGTATCTCCATCATTCGCTCCATTTATGTACATAACCAGCAATTTTATGACCATATGACCCGCTCCATCCACCTACTTCTGCCAGACCGGGAGGGCTGAGGCATCCACCTACTTCTGCCAGAGCACGCTTGGTCCATTTGGCCTGGGAGACGGTTTTTAGCAGCGCAGCAGCTGGCAAGATCACGATGTGGCACCTAGTGGGGAACCAATAGATTATCATAATATCATATAATCTATTCATGATGATATGAATATAGATACTAGATGATACTAGATGATACTAGATGATACTAGATATATATAATAACATATGTAGAAATGTTTCGAAGCGTTGCTGTTTTTTGCCCTGGCCAGCTTCAATGTCTGTTCAAATGCTTGGAACAAGAGTCAGCTGCTGGGTCTCCAACCGTCTTGTCACCTTTGGCTTCAATCTTGCCTTGAGAAAATCAGCAGTGACACTGAGAAATACCTTGGTTCGCATAATTTTCCATAATTTTGGTGTCATTCATCCACTTAAAGTGGACGTCTAAGTAGAGGACTGGGTCGCCCTCAAAAATTGAATCCTCCAGAAACTTCTAAAAACCATCCTGGACAAAGAAAGCCAATGAAAAACAACAGTTTTCAGATATTATTATGGTGCTGACCAAGCAGTTGAAAGCATACAATTCATGCAGCTGTGTTTGCCTAGCCTTTTTGTCAATTTGCGGGTATTGTTGGTTCCACCTGGTTTTGGAGTGTAGCTTTACTCAGTTTTTTCCAGCCAAAACTATGAAGAACAATTCTTGCGGATTACCTCCAGGGCAAAAATCAACTTGAAGCAGCCTCCGGAAGCAACCCCACATGTCATTCAAAGATGGTGGTCGAATTCTGATCAAATCCAGTAATAACATAATTATAATACCCCAAGACATGGGAGCATTTCATCTCCAAATTTCACTACCATCAGCCACAACGTGAGTGCTGCCAAAGGACCAAAAGAATTCATCTCTTTCCACAGCCAATGCACCTGGGCTTTAGCTTGGCCACACGCAAAAAAGTGGAAACACCCAGTCGTAAGTTTCTCCTTGGAATTCTCGGAACAAATGGTGGTCAACTCTGGAACCACTCCGGTGGAAACTTGAGAGGCATCCTTTAGACTGTCAAGGCGTCAATGAGTGGGCTCCCAGCACCAAATGAGGGTCGCAAAAAATGGATGTGCATCCCAATGAGAAAGTGCTTCGATACCATGTGTATTGTATACAACAATTGCTATTACCATTATTATTTTTATTATTATTACGATCATCATTGCTATTGGTATTATGTATATATATATACATATACATATAATTATGTGTATAACGTGTTTCACGGCCCCCCACCCAGTGTTTTCAAGTATTCTGTATGTGCACGTTTCAGAGATGTTGTGCACGTGTCAGAGATGTTTTGCACGTTTCACAAGCCCCCTAATAACGTGCGTGTTCAACTGTATACACACTGAGCGCATTCTAATCAGCAAAAGCATTGGGGCGACCAAACACGTTCTCCTAATATATACATACATGTATGTATGTATGGATGGATGGATGGATGTATGGATGTATGGATGTATGGATGTATGGATGTATGTATGTATGTATGTATGTATGTATGTATGTATGTATGTATGTATGTATGTATGTATGTATGTATGTATGTATGTATGTATGTATGTATGTATGTATGTATGTATGTATGTATGTACAATGTATGTACAATGTATGTACAATGTATGTATGTATGTAATTATGTATGTAATTATGTATGTATGTATGTATGTATGTACGTACGTATGTACGTACGTATGTAGGTAGGTATGTATGTATGTATGTACGTATGTACGTACGTATGTACGTATGTACGTATGTACGTATGTACGTATGTACGTATGTACGTATATACGTATGTACGTATGTACGTATGTACGTATGTACGTATGTACGTATGTACGTATGTACGTATGTACGTATGTATGTAATTACTTTGTTTAAATCTATGTAATTATGTGTGTGCGTGTGTGTGTTCGTGTATATAACCAGGCATTGAAAAGCCACATACAACTGGGGATATCCCCCTATATACAATTGTCACGACTATGTTTATAGATCCCTCAGTGTTTGGGATGCACATTCTCCCGTAACCCGCCAACTGCCCAACGTCCGGCACCTCATCTTTGCTGCTTCCCCAGCAGGAAGTGAGAGCCTGGTTCTGAAAAAAATGTTCCGTGAGCCGAATAATATGGCAAAAAATAGGCCCATATGTCTATGTTCAGCCCTGTGCACATCATTCATGGAGTTTTATATAGTTTTATAGTTCGATGATTCTAGATGATGCTAGACGATGCTTGGATAAACTCGGATAGACAAATTACATCACCCTCATCAGTTTGCGGAACATCGCGCACCGTCAGCAGCTCCAATAGCACCACACCAAAGGAGAAGACCTGTGACACGTGCGGCTGGTGATCTCCCTGTCAAGCCCAAGTTGGTGGTGTACCAGGTGTACCATATGATCATCCCAGCCACTCAATTCAGTGAGAATCGAGTGTGCAAATCGTTTGAATTGGTGATGCTTTTCCATGGTTTTCCCAAGCTCTCACCATTGACCAGGAGTTTGGGGCATGACGGCAATTGTTTTCACTGAGATATCCATGGGAAACGCCCGACCCGTCTTCGTGACCACCTGAAATGATGCAATGCGATACCGTGATACCATTGTTTATCTATTCAACCATTGGGTGTGCCAAACAATTCAGGCAATATGTATTGTACTAGCCGCGACCTCTTTGTATTCCTGAATTTCAAAATTATAAAGTGCAACCCTTCGAAAAGTGTCAAGGTATACAACGAATTGTGTTTCAATCTTTTTGGGGACCACATACATATCATCAGCATCAAACATGAAGCATGGCTGACTTGGAATTTGAATAAATCCATCAGAAATCTGACCCTGACAGCCCTCAGTTCAGTATGACACCTCTATAAAAACGCTCTTCGTTTCAGGCTGCACCGGGGCTCACCCTGCTTTATATACATCGGTTGAAACAGCGCCATGAGGCGTCCGGCGAGACTGTATCCGTTGCTCAAGCCAGTTCTTCATACGCGGCCATTGGTGGCTCGGCACCTTACTCAGTGATGCTGCAGGCTGTGTGTTTTTTTAAGGGGCTTCACCGGCTTCACCCCACAAAAAAAACACATTAGTAACATCAAAAATGTGATTGTAGAACATCAGCAAACTTTTTGACCATACCATCCATACCTTATCATCCCTTGTACCCAGTCGAGTCTCCTATACGTAAACCAGGTGATTCAGCACAAAAAATGAGTCCTGCAGACCCCCGTTGTGAGCGAGTTGTGAGCTTCGCGAGCTAAGCCTCGCTACAACTGATCACTGATTACCCACCAACAACCATCTGGTCAGGTACAGGACCAGCTCCACTGCTGGACTAAGTAGTCAAGAAAAGATGGGTCCACTTTTTCGCATTAAAAAAGAAAAGGAATCTCCAACAAGCCTAGGAGCGTCTTGATAAATGTGTGGCAATTTGGATTTTGTTCAAAAGTGGTGCTACACCATTTCATCCAATGGTTTATCATCATTTTCCCACCAAACTAAAGAAAGTTTGGATATATACAATTCCCATTTCTGGACAAACCCATTGTTGTGACCCATCTCCCCCAACTGGCAGATCATTTTACAAGGGCAGGCGGCGAGAGTGTCGCCACTGCAGAAATTTAAACTCAGAACAGGCATGGCTGGCTACTCAATGGCTTCGAAGGAGCAAAGTCAGCTAAAAAAGGACTTCCAGAGTTCATCCGATTCTCAAATGCCCCTTCTGCTCCAACCCTTAAAATGAAAGACAATCTGCCAGTGTTCCTCTAAAGAATATAATTGTGGCAAACGTCATCAGAGATTCTCGGGTCAAAATTTCTAAAATTTCACATGCCCAAAGAAAAAGTTCGGATTGTTTTACCAACAAAAAAGAAATTGTGTCCGAAATTTTGACCCACTCTGGACTGCTGTTTTAAGTCGATCTTTTGGACCATGTTGTCCTTGTCGTCAAGGTCTTCCAATCATGTTCATGTCAATCAGGAAACGATAAGAAACGATAGAAAAACCTAGCATGGTCGAATTCCCTTCTGCACCAGTGGGTTTGTTCACCGTTAAGAAGGGATTCGAGACTGATTGCCGCCCTGACGTAGTGACAAAGAGTGGAAGTTGGGCTGAGATTGATTCATGGTGAGTCTTGGCGAAAGCATCGTTGGGTTGGACCCAGGATATGGATTCAAAGATGACAAAAGAGAAGAAAATCTAAAAGGATAAAAAATTGGCCTTGTTTTTTCAGCCGGCGATATTGCTGCCATTCATTCTCCAAGTGTAATGCCCACGTGTTCAGCGGCCGCAACCCCACTCTTTTTCAGTCTGACGTTAGTGTCATCTTCAAATTGGCTGCTTGATGCAGAAATCGCCCCCACCGCAGGTCACGAGATCACGGCATTTCAAAGGCTTTCGTGGCTCATGGTTGACAGTCGTGGTGGAGGGACTGACGGAGTCATCGGCCTGCTCGCTCGCTGGTCATGGTCTAAGTTGCTGGTGATAAAACCAATGCCATAAATGCCATAAACCATCCCCAGTTTTGGGGGTTATTGTTGGGAATAACCCCTAATATATAGTAGGGTGATGTAAATTGACTCAGAGCCATGGTTTGGTTTATGGCATTGCGTTTACCACATTATAGAATTGTACTATGAAGTGTGAAAGTACATGGTAGAGATTGAAGACATCTCTCGCTCACAAACCAATTATCACCATCAGGAGCCCAATTCCAAGGATAGAATGGGTGAAATGCCATCGAAATGGGACTGGAAACCTGTTATGACGGGCCCTTAGAGTGCTACCAACCTTTTTTGCAACCCACCAGTTACTGAATCGGGTCCATCTCCTCCCCATGGTGGAAAATGATCTGGGTTTATCTGAAAATAAGGTATATAAATACATCATTTCATCCAATGCTTAGTGGGTCATTTTCACATTTAAAAGGACTATGTTGAGGTCCATTTTCAGACACAGACACACACACACACCCACTTGCTCAGAAACATCTTTGCGAATTCTGATGTGGAATGCATCGTACGTGCAAAAACACTTCAGTTAAACCTGACAGGAGATATTGGATGACCAGGAGTGAGAGACTATGCGAAGAAAATCTTTCAATGTCCTTGCTAAAAGAATGAAATTGTTCTGATGCAGCTCATTCCTCTTCAATTGAAATTGGCAAATCAGATTGCGAAAACCGTACAGGCATTGAAGTGACGTCAAGTGGCAAACTGAAAGTTTGGAAGGAAAACTGTTTGAAAAACTGTTTGAAACACGACATGCCGGTTCTTGGCTTAGCCGGTTGCCATTGACGAGAAATGGAAAACAGTGGCAGGTACGCAGATTGGCGTCCCAATCTGTATCACCAGATCAAATGGGCGTCTTCGTTGGTAGCGGTCCCAAATGATCTGCCGCTACCCCCTGCTGATTCGTTATGCAAATTCAACAAATCACAAACCGGTTGGAAGTTTTACATCTTTTCAGATGTTTCACACACACACAGACGCACACATCTCGGTTTGTCCGAAAAAGGCTACCTTTTGTCATCCACTGAATGCTGGTTATTTCGGTGCACCACAAGCCACATTTCAATGTTTTGGGGTGCCAGATCGACAAGAATTGTCCATTGAAATGTGCTAATTTGGGTGTATCCCGAGTAATGTGGTAAACCCAATGTGCCAAAATCCCCGAGTCATCACCATAAATGGGTGGTAACTAGCATCCCCAAATAGTATGTTTATTATTGGATTGCCTACATTATCCTCATTTATGGACAGGTTCAATTGGTTTCAGGGAAAATCTTAACCGGAAACTTCAAGGAACTTGTGGTTAACATTGAAGTTTCCGGTTTCGATTTTCCCATTTTCCCTTAAACCAATTAATGAAACAGGGATTTGTGGTTGAACCAATCAATGTGTCAATGGCTACCACTGGCTACCACTGCCGGTGCACCTTCGGGCAAAGATGTGCTTCAGCCGCAGACTGAGTTCGTGACGACCAGTAGAACCAACCTGATCGGCTGAGCGTCGTGGAACCATCGGTGGAACCTTTCGAAAAAACTACCGCAGCTATGGAAAATCACAGTTTTAATAGGAAAATGATCCATAAATGGACCATTTTCCATACCAATATTAGTTTCTTGGAAGGTATAGTTGTCTTTGAAATGGGCTTCTTAAAGTTTGGCTTCATCGTCCAAGGACTTACCGGAATTGGTTTTTACATCAAAGATGGTGGTTTCTTGACGTTTTTAGTAAACCATTCCATTTAGGGTTACCCAATCCTTCCCCTGGGGTCACATGGCAAACATGGCGAAAATGTCGGCCTTCCGCTTCAACTCCACGTGTCGTGCACACGCAATGGCACACATGATACGAGGAAATCCAAAGGGCACGATGAAGGGCGGGGTGCCTCAGCGAAAAAAAATCCGGAATGTTCCTAGGATTTTCATGATTTAAAATAGAAAAAAATGAATCTCAAAGGCCAACAAGGTATTTTTGGGTAGATTTAGAAATGGAGAACTAATGATGGTGAATCCGAAAGTCGAAGGTCGTCAAGTCGTCCATTGTGACCCATCCCCACAAGAGCTCCAAGATTCTGAGAAACACGGCTGAAGCTCGACATGGAACCCCAAAAATGACGAAAGATGATCTTCCTTTTTCACTACGGCATGTGTTTCATTGATTATTGACCATGGGATTAATGATCCATATAAAACTGCTAGCTAGAATTGAATTCTATACATGCAATCTCTACATTGCTAAGATGGTAGTCCCATAGTACCTTCAAGGCCTAGCTATATTGTTGTCATATATATATATATACATACAGCTGCATACATCTATATATACATCTATATATACATCTATATATATATATGTTTGTCTGTTTGTCTGTTTGTTTGTTTATTTGTATGTCTGTAAAATCGCTATGAAAATTCTGCGGTATAAATCTAGCACGCCTTGACGTCCCTCGAGTGAAGCCAGGATCCAGCGCCTCAGTGATTCACAGCATTTTTCGTGAGAAAAATGCTACAAAGGGAGCTATCAATAGGTATTACCGTGGTGATATGACTTAACTACCTGATTGTACTATTGAAAGTTTAAATGTGATGTTTAGTGATAATTATAAAGTTTGTCAGAATTACTTCATGACATGTCCTAATGCTTATATGCAGAAGTGTTGTTTAAGAATTGTGATAAATGCATAGTGATACCAAAAATAAATGCTATGCTTTTGATCTAATTGATGAGGGGTGCTTAGTTTTACAATAATATTCACATATGTACATCTTATGTCTGTATATACTTTTATATACTATGCCGTTTGTCAGGTGTATGATACCATGGTACAGCTTGAATACCTATAGATGATGGGGATGCGAATGATGCGAATGAGCCGAGGTTGGAGAGCCAGGAAAGGGGATGTTCATCCTCACAGTTACACAGCGATCCATTTGATCGATAGCCATAGCTGCCATAGCTGTTTACCCAACGTTTACCCAACAATCACCCATCCCCAATATAACCATAAAATTGCTAAAAATCCTCCCCAAATATGCTTTTTTTATGGTTTTATTGTTGAGTTTACCACATTTTTTTTTCCTTGGGTTTCAGAAATCAGCGGGTCGTTTCGTTATTCATGGCACTTGAATCCCGAGGCACTTGAACTCATCCCAAACTCCTGGTAAGATGCACTCGCTCAGATACGTTTTCCGGCCTCGGGAAATCAGGAAATCATGGGGCCCGCCACTGAAAAAAGGGGCCCCTTGCTTAACATGAACACAAGGGACACAAGGGTTTTAAACATGGCTCAAATAGTAACTAAAATACTACAAACACTTCATCATCTTCATCATCTTCATCAAAGATCTTCGAGAAGTAAAACTGACACAAATGGCTTCTGAAAAGATGGTCCCAATTCCAATGGTCATTTGGGGGTAGACTCCTTTTTGACCCAAATGGTGGGGACCTTCCACTTCGGCATATGTGTCATTGAGCAACTCGCGATGCCTGAATGATCTGAATGGCAGTTCAAAACTATGAAGTCCAATGGTTCTGGGAAGTTGTTTCTTGGCAGTTTCGATCAATGTGATTTCCCCTCAGCTTCGACTGCTTAGAATCGTTTATGATGTTGTCAAGTAGCCTTCCAATTTCGGTTACATTCTAGCTAAAGCTCGTTGACAATGGCAGGATTTGTCCAGCAAAAGTATTGAGAAGAATCAAAGAATCTATGAAAGAGTCAACTGGATCGGTAAATTTAAATAAGTAAGCCAATGGAACAGCGGGAGTTGAAGTCGAAAGCTGCGAAGTTATGTAGGCAAAACAAAATTCTAGACAGAGACAAAAGTATACTTCTAGAGATGTCTTAGGAAACACTCAGATGTGAAAAACCATCCCCGTTGGAAAAAGCTGAGCAGAGCGGACTTTTCTTCCAATGGTTGGTGTTCAGAATGATGTTGATCTCCTGAACTTCCAGACTTGCCTCATCAACTTGTACCTCCGGGCGGTCCAGGCGGTACAAATCCAGTCGAACATGTCGGTTATTCAGTTCCAGCTTGGATTAAGAAAGGCTCTGGAGATTTAAAACAGACTTCAGATTGCCAAAAACATTTGAGGAATCAATCATACTGACTGCTTGAAGGAGATTTTGATCCACACTGAGAACTTCCCCATGCCAATATGGATTCATCCTTGATCATATTCTTTTGGTGAATATCCTCATATAGGCCTACGTGAGACTTTAAGACCAAGAAAACACCAACAGAATTTGGACCAATTTCCTTGGAATTGGACCTTCCAGTCAAAAATATCCTCGCTTTTTGGGATATGACACTACTCCATTGGCTTTCCTAACCCATTATTGATCAGCAATTCACACAAAATCAATACATAGATGATTAATTCATCCATTGATTATTATTAGTGATTCATTATTTATTGATCAGTAATTCACCATTCGTTATTTCTTACACTACTCATTGGCACTATAGGATGGGGCCCCCAAGTATAAGTTGGTTTATAAACACCATGAATACCATATTTATCTATAGGTATATCTACCATAAACCATAGAATTCAGCCACAGCCATATCTCACCTTCACCTCCCAGAGGCTGCTGGTGTTCTGCACGGGCATGGCCTCTGTCGACCAGACGGGGCCCAGTGGGGCCCGGCCCTGGGTGGATTTTTTTGAACACTTCTTTGTGCCAACTCACTTTTTTTATGATGCTTGGCAAGGAGAAACATCCCATGTTTGAGCAAATACCCACATAGCTCTAGTTAACTATAGTTATGGTTTATGGTAGATATAGCTATAGATAACTATAGTATTCATGGTCTTTATAAGCCAACTTATAACTGGGGGGCCATCCTGTAAAAGCGATCCAAGAATTCTATCCAATAACATCACCCTTTTGCTTGCTGACATCTGTGTACAGTATATCATATACATAAAAGTACATGCACATAGATGCTGATATAATACCATACAATTAAACCGCAAATAAGTAACCATGTCTTCATTGTGTATCCATTTTCATACATATAATCATACATGTTACACCTCCAAATCGGTTTTTCAACCATCCACTATACACATAGACATGTGTATGTATATATATATATACTAGACATAATGATATACATATTACACCAATATACTTATATGTTCAACATACATATAGTATATATGGGGTGTTCAACATACATATAATATTTATATAATATAAATATAGATAGATAGTACATACGTACAATATATATATATAATATCCAGATATAATCTATATATATGATATATATCCACTATTAACCATTACTACCATTACTAACCATCTATTAATCCATATATATATATTATATGTAATATGATATAATATGAAAATGCAGATGTGTTGTCTCGCCAAAGAAGCCCAGGAATGCGCCGCCAGCGCTTCCGAGGTCAGGCGCGGCTGACTGGACGCCTCGACGGACGAAGCGGCAGCTGCACCTGGCCGCGCGCGGCAAATGCCACGAAAAATGGTGAAAAATTGGGAAAAATTTGGAAAAATCATGGTTAGTAATGGTTAATAATGGTTAGTAATTGGTTTATTTTGGCTAATCATTGGTTGACAATTGATTGAGAGTTGAGAATGGTTGAAGAATGTGAATCATGGGAAAAAGTGAGATGATTCACAGTTGTTGGCGGACGAAGATCTCACTTTTCAATTGGAAAGATATTTGCCAGCAATAATGATGGAGTCTGACTAAAATGATCGGCTAACCTGCAGCTCAAAATTGTCATCAAAAAATCCAGTCCTGAAATTCGCGGCTTTGCAATGCTTTACAGCCTATCCCAGAGATTTTTCAGAGAAACGCTTCTTTAAAAAAAACAAGAGAAACATAGAGAAACTGCTCATGGCATGGCATGGGTGTCGCACCTGCTTCATCCTTGTCCGCTGGCTCCGTTGGCTCCATTGGCTCCGTTGGCTTCAGCTTTTCCACCTGGCAGCCACAAAAAAACATCACAAAAAAACATCATTGGAATCATTGGAATCATTGGGTTTCCACAAAAACCATCAAAAACCACTGAAGTCTTAAGATATTTAAGATATCCTCCGGGCATCAGCCAAATCCATGGTTCATCTCCCAATTTCTCCATCGCATCGTGCCTCGGTCATGGCGAAGAAATACTGTGGACCTCGACGCTCCGAGGCCAGGCTGCAGACATGGATTCTCAGATCCTGCGAGACTTTTTGCTTCAGTGATTAATAAGTAATATGGTCATATCTGGTCAATATAAATCAATGGTTAAGTGGTGTTATAATAATAATAATGATAATAATAATATTGATTTATATTGATTTATTAACCATTACGTTGATTTATTAGCCATGATGAATCATGTTTGACCATGATTGGCCGTGATTAATCATTCTCAACCGTTGTAAACCATCGTGAACTAATATAAACCAAGTATGAACTATTTCTTGGCGGCTTTGAGAAAGGATACAATTCTATGGAAAAGTGATGATGCATTCTTCAGAATGATATGGAGGTTTTTTCACGCGTGAGAATGTATATGGTTGAAACATGTTGAAACTGTTTGAAGGCGGTGGATTTCTTCAGCGTTTCACCCCCTGAGTTCGGAGATTTGATGAACTTTGGGAGTATGAACTGCGTTGCTTACCTCTTCAAATCGCCATGGCTAAATGTCTGGTTCAAGATCCGGCATTCCAAAAAGGTCAATGGTGTGATTCAACCACAAACCACAACAATAGCCAAGCTCAATGTTAAATCGTTCACAAGCCTTCCTGTTTACTCACTCTCCAAGTCCAATGCGTTTGCAGTTCAAATGAGCTCCTTGTGCTGCCCATTCCGCTTCGAGACGTTCAAGTTCAAAGGCACGGGTATTCCTGCGAAGCACAACCCCCCTCCACTAGTGCCATGGCACTATACAAACCAGGCGCATCCAACATCAAAAAAATCTCGTCATTTTTTAAGTAAAATAAATCGACCTGGCTATACCTGGCTGTCCGAATGAGTTGAAGGTCTTTTTGCTGTTCAAAGCTACATTTCCTCCAAACCTCCATGACCGGGTCTGACCCTGACACCGCCTTGTTGCTGCGCCATCTCCTTGGCTGACTGCAGCACTGTCTGCAGTCGCTGATGGTCGTCTTCCTCCACCAGCTCCAAGAAAGATCGGCCCTCCAAACTACTCGGCGGCTTTTGAACTCAGCACGGATGTGACGCTATGGTGGATATGTTTTTTTCGGGGAGATCATCGATTTCAATAGATATCTGATGCGAAGGGATTGTCGTTGGAGAAATGTTCTTATCACAAAACATATCGGGATTTTGCCATGAAAAAAGGGAGTTGAACTGAGCCGGAAGTCTGAAAAGCGACGCCAAACTCTTGCACCCAATTCTTGGTCTCTGCATATGCCATGGCGAGACCACAGCCCAACAAATCTTTCAGCCCAGCAACAAAAGTGGGCCAGCTTCGGTGAAACCTGCGGCGCCGGTCGCTCACATCAAAGTCAAGCAACATCTTGCTTCTAGTGACCCCAGAAAAGAGAGAAAAGTCATCTACCACTATTTTAGTCGGATTTTACTTGTCGCACTTTTTGGGGGTTGCTATGAAACAGCTTTGGATAGAGACAGGTTTGTCCTGGAAGCACACCTGCCGAACGAATTCCTGCAGGTTTCATCCTTGGATCATGTTGATTCATCTGAAATCTTTGGTGACAAATTCCCCGACCATCATCGACATCAACATCATCGAAAACCTAAAAAGGTGCAAAATCAGCCACTCCGAATCAGCAAGGTGCCCGCCTGCAGCAAACGCATGTCCTTGTCCAGTTCTCCTTGCGCATCGCAGGACATGGCGGTCACGGAGCGGACCGCTTGCAGAGATAGGCCTAATTCGTTGGCTGAAAGTAGCACAGAGATCCATCGCCTCATCACGGAAGCGATGGTCCACCGGTCCACCGGTGGTCCCCTTGGGCCTTGGGGTTTTGAATTTGGACACGGACTTCACGGGAGCCAAAGTAAGCTGGGCAAAAAAAACAAAACAAAACGTCGCGAAAAAGCCGTGGCAATCGAGCGACCGCGCAATGTTCTCAATGGCCCAAGGAATCATAAGAATGCAAATGGTGACCTCAGAAGGAACAGCCAATCGACAATGCAATGTGTCAAACCAAACAATAAGTCATCCACAACTTTACCAGAAATGGGTGCCCCAATGAAAGTTGGTTTATTATATGTTTATTATGGGCTTTACCATTGTGGTTTACTGGGTCACTATCAAAGTTCCACGATACCAACGCGCTCAAGAAATGCTCATCTTTCTGCCTCCTTGAAACAGAGCAAATAATATGATGTTTCAAGCATAACTCCCAAAAAAGATAGAAAAACATTTCCAGGATGGTAGTTCGATGATTCTTCCCCGATGATTTCCAGGTTTCCAACTTTTCTATGGCTGAGGGTTACTACATTCTGTCAGATGTTCAACTGAAACCAACCGACCAAGGCGCACAAACCTCCTGCACAAAGATAGCTTGACCCAAAGGTTGGTAAGATGCAAAGGCCAACAAGTGGACTCTCCGCGCCTCAGCGATGTGTGGATATACATGCAGTACATCTATATATATATATATATACTATATCGTATTATCCCCCCATTATCAAACACGCCCGTCTTGGGCTCTAAAAAAAGGCTGATTTTTTCGGGGAAAGAAATAATATTTGATGAGTTTCTTAAGCTTGAGTTCATCGTCGATGTTTTCATCTGGAAGATGATTTCAAATGATTTCCCTGGCGAAATTCTGGGGACCGGCATTTCAGAAAGCCCCACATTTCTTGGAGAACAAAATGCTGATCTCTTATGACCCACTTTCTGAGGCCCACAGCGGCGTCGAGGGGCACTAAACAGCACATTGATGCAGAAGCCGTGTCGCAAATCAAAAAAAACGATTGAGCCAATGATGCGCCCGATCATCACAAATGGCCTAGCGGCAAAATCATAGATGGCAGGTGTACAATGTTTGGTGCAGTTGGGTTTGTTTTGATGGGAACCGGGTACAACCATGGCTATGACCCTGGTAAGTTGGGATACCCCTTTAACCATGGCTCTATACCTAGATAATAGATCTTCACCTGATGGAACTGAAAACCCTTGCCATGGATGATCCACACCTTTTTTCTTATGCGAAGCCAATCGCCAAGAGGTCAGAAGATCAAGTGATGTCAGGCACTAGAAATGGTCACCAAATGTGAAACGCTCAGAAAACATGGGATCAATGAGGTGTCATCTATCCCACTATGTGTTTCTTCTCATGGGGGTATGTGGTAGTTCTCATCCCTATGAATGGATTGATGACCATCCCCCAAACGCTCAAGGAATCGCTGGTGCACTCTGAATGGACACACGCCATGATGGCCCTCTACTTACCAGTTGATAACCCCGGTAAAGTCCCAGTTGACCACACTGGCGTAAACCTGAGTCCCAGGTCCCGAAATAGGCTAACTAATGATCATCAGGTTCCCTAGGGCAAATCTACAGGAAGAAAGTTTCCTCTAGATTTTGACACTAACCCATTGAATTCAGATTTCTCATACCCTCCCGAAATCAGTTCCATGACTTGCTGGAAAATCACCCGTTTACTCCTATGATTTTCCTGTGGCTGCCCATCTGGTTTGGGGATTTCCTGGGAAATACTAATGGCTCTGGCGCCAAGTGGCTCAAGTGTGGCATCTGGCGAAAAAGCCAATGAGAGGGTGGCCAAATTGAAGCCATACCTGGGCACCACGCCCACTTTGGGGTGCAGCACTGGACTTATTTGGGTATAACCATCGTGGTAATCCCCAAAAGTTGGCCATACATACATTACATTACATTACATTACATTGCATTGCATTACATTACATTACATTACATAGATAGATAGATAGATAGATACATAGATACGTAGATACGTATCTACGTATCTACGTAGACACATAGATACATAGATAGATAGATAGATAGATTAGATTAGATTAGATTAGATAGATAGATAGATGGATAGATGGATAGATAGATAGATAGATAGATAGATACATAGATACATAGATATACAGATACACAGATGCACAGATGCACAGATGCATAGATAGATAGATAGATAGATAGATAGATAGATATAGATAGATAGACAGACAGATAGATAGATAGGTAGATACTTATAGATAGATACTTATAGATACATACTTCTAGATACATACCTATAGATACATACTTATAGATACATACTTGTAAATACATACTTGTATATACATACTTGTATATACATACTTGTATATATATATATACATACTTTTATATATACACATATTTATATATACATACTTGTATATATATATACATACTTATATATACATACTTGTAAATGTATATTTACATACTTATATTTACATACGTGTATATACATACTTATATATACATACTTATATATATATATACAGACTTATATATACATACTTATATATATTACATACTATATATATACATACTTATATATATATACATACTTATACATATATATATTCATACTTATATATATATACATACTTACATATATATAAATATATACATACTTATATTTACATACGTGTATATACATACTTGTATATACATACTTATATATACGTACTTAGATATACATACTTATATATATACATACTTATACATACATAAGTGTATATACATACTTATGTATACATACTTATATATATAAATACTTATAGATACATACTTATATATACATACTTATATATACATTCTTAAATATATTTGCATACTTATATATACATACTTATATATATTACATACTATATATAGACATACTTATATATACATACTTAAATATATATATATACATACTCATATATACATACGTGTATATACATACCTATATATATATATACATACTTATATATACATACTTATATATACATACTTATATATATATATACATACTTATATATATATATACATACTTATATAGGCATACTTATATACACATACTTATATATATATACACACTATATATATACATAGTTATATATACATACGTGTATATACATACCTATATATACATACTTGTATATATATACATACTTATATATACATACGTGTATATACATACTTATACATACACACTTAAATATATATATACATACTTATATATACATACGTGTATATACATACTTAAATATATATATACATACTTATATAGACATACTTGTATATACATACTTATATATATGTACATACTATATATATATATATATACATACTTACATATACATACGTGTATATACATACATATATATACATACTTGTATATATATATATACATTCTGATATATACATACGTGTATATACATACTTTTAATACATACTTATATATATATACATATATATACATACGTGTATATACATACTTAGAGATATATATATATACACACTTATATATATATATATATACATACGTATATATATACATACTTATATATATATACATACTTATATATATACACACGTATATATATATATATACATACTTATATATACATACTTATATATACATATACATACTTAAATTTACATATACATACTTATATATACATACTTACAGATACATACTTATATATACATACTTATATATACATTCTTATATATATACATACTCATATATATATATATACATACTATATATATACATACTTATTCATATATATATATATATATGTACACACTTATATATATATATGTATACATAGCCTCGTCTCTGCCCTTGGAACCGCGCAAACCTGAATTAGGTTGGTAAAACTTGTCAATTCCGTGACGAAATTTAGTCGCGGAATTGACAAGTTTCATGAGGGTCATCATCATCATCATTATCATCATCATCATCATACACATATGTAAGTTCAACTATATAAATATATATATATTGAAAAAATGATGAATATATATAGATATCTGAAGAATTCTGTAAATATATTCAAATATATATATATATTTATTTTGTCCCAGTCCTCGTGAGCGTAGCATCAACTGCTTCTGCAAGTTCACATGAACGTTAACATCCCACCACATCCCCCCCCACCCCGCGTGTGCGTAGCATCAACTGCTTGTGCAAGTTCACATGAACGTTGACATCCCAACCCATCCCACCCATCCCCAAAGAAGGACCCCCACCCCGCGTGTGCGTAGCATCAACTGCTTCTGCAAGTTCACATGAACGTTACTTCACATGAACGTTAACATCCCACGTTAATTCAAATGAACGTTAACATCCCACCCCACCCCCCCACCCCATCGTATGTGGTTCCAGGACCTGGGACGAGCCTATATATACACAATATATATATATATATATATGTACATTAATATATGTATATATACACAAACATTATATATATATACAATACTATATATATATATACACCCGTATCGAAGGAAGTGTAGAAGTCAACTTCCACATTATGGACATAATGAAAAAGCAGGACAGCAGGGAAGAGGGCAAGAGAAGAGAAAGAATCAGAAGAAGAGAGTAGAAGGAAAGAGTAAGAAGAAAGAAAGATGCAGATGCTGGTCGAAAAGGTAGGAAAGTTCCACGAAAACCTGTGGTTTTCCCATATTTGGGGGGGCTCCGGAGGGTCGAAAAGTAGGCTCGCTACAAAGGGCGGGTGCGGAGCCAGCTGGCCAGAATGAGTGATGAAAAGTTCAAGCACGCGTTGTGGCGCAGAAGCACATTTCCCCAAATTCAAAATGTACAACCACACCCAATTCCGTAACGATCTCGGACGACTTTTGGAAGTTGCGATGTCGAAAAAGTGCACGCCGTTGTGGCGCGAAGCACATTTCGAAGTCAAAATGTACAAAGCACACCATTCTCGGACCACTTTTGGCAGCTCAGATGTTGAAAAAGTGCACGCCGTTGTGGCGCGAAGCACATTTCGAAGTCAAAATGTACAAAATACACCAGCATCGGACCACTTTTTGGAAGTTCAGATGTTGAAAAAGTGCAAGCCGTTGTGGCGCGAAGCACATTTCGAAGTCAAAGTGTGCAAAACACCACATGTTCGCGCCACTTTTGGAGGTTCAGATGTCGTTTGGCGTGGCAGGCGCAAGGGATTGTGCACCGTGTCAAAAGTGAGCAAAACGTGGTGGTTTTGTCGCATTTTCAACTACAACCACCACTACACCACACTACACTCCAAAACACTACACTACACTACAACTACACCTTCAACTACACTACACTCCACTACACTACACTACACTCAATTACATTCAATTACACTACACTACATTACACTACACTACACTCCACTACACTACACTCCACTACACTACACTCCACTACACTACACTACACTACCTTCCACTACACTACATTACACTACACTACACTCCACTACACTACAACTACAACTACACAACTACACTCCACTACACTCCACTACACTAAATTACACTACACTATACTACACTACAATCCACTACACTACAACTACAACTACACAACTACACTCCACTACACTCCACTACACTAAATTACACTACACTATACTACACTACACTCCACTACACTACAACTACAACTACACAACTACACTCCACTACACTCCACTACACTAAATTACACTACACTATACTACACTACAGTACATTACACTACACTACTTTCCACTACAGTACACTACACTACATTACACTACACTACACTACATTCCACTACATTACAGTACACTACACTCCACTACACTACACTAACTACAACTACAACTACAACTACAACTACAACTACAACTACAATACTACATTTACACTACGCTACACTACACTACACTGATTGACACTGCACCACAGATAGACAGGTAGACAGATAGACAGGCAGACAGATAGATAGATAGACAGATAGACAGGTAGACAGATAGACAGATAGATAGATACACAGATAGACAGATAGACAGGCAGACAGGTAGACAGATAGATAGATAGACAGATAGACAGATAGACAGGCAGACAGCTAGACAGATATACAGATGAAAGAGAGAGAGAGAGATAGATAGATAGATAGATAGGTAGATAGATAGATAGATAGATAGGTAGATAGATAGATAAATAGAAAGATAGATAGATAGTAGTACGGTCCATTCGACTGCCCGCGCGCCGCGCGCGCCGATCAATATCGCTCGACTCTCCCTCGACGGCTCGCTCGGTCGTCGGTCGCTCGTCCGAGCCCGGAGCGAACGAGAGGCGCCCATCCCGCCCCTTCGGTACCCTCCGTGGTCTTCGCTCTGGCCCTCCCCTGCTTCCCCCCACCCCACCTCTCCTCTGGTTTCCTCTTTTTGCCCCCTTCAAAAGCCGCCACCAACAAAACACAGACGACAAGGCCTATTGTTGCTTTACTAACCTGGTCTCTTTCTCATCTCTCTCTCCCTCCTGTCTCTCTCCCTCCTTCTCTCTCTCCCTCCACTCCTCTCTCCCTCCTCTCTCATCCCTCCTTATATATATACATACTTATATATATATATATATACATACTTATATATACATACTTAAATATATATACATACTTATATATACATACTTATATATACATACTTATATATACATACTTATATAGACATACTTTTATATGCATATGCGTGTATCTGTATATGGTATAACCCTTGAATTGCAACCATATAGGAACTTGTTGAATGGAACTGCAACCTGCACTTTTCGGGATCAGTGGTGGGATCAGTGGTGAGATCAGAATGGCAAATTCCCCAGTCATAGGGTTTTTTTCATTGGTGACCCATCCCCATATCATTGTTTCTCCAATAAATAGTGCCATAATTTGTTGTGATGTTGCCTCAAAAATACGCAAATCTCATAGCTCTAAAAAAGAATTCAGATGGAAACAATCATGGTCTGTGCTGCCAGGAAGCAACAAAAAGAGGATCTCGCGGTCCCCAAAGTCAAGAAGTCCATGATGAAAGATGGCACAAATCGACTGCCAAACCACTAGGGAGTAGGCATGGTAGAGCTCGTCGTCCGAGAGACTCTCCTGTGAAACGGTCGGTTAGGGAAGGGTAAACCTTACTGCGGATACCAAGTATCTGTATACTTCATCCAAACTACAAAGAACTC